AAAAGTAGCTAAACTTAACCTCAAAATAACTTAACCTAACCTCAAAGTAGCTAACCTAACCTAAACGTAACACAACCTTACCTCTAAGTAGCTCAACCTAACCTCAAAGGAGCTGAACATAACCACAAAGTAGCTAAACCTAACCTCACAGTAGCTGAACCTAACCTAAAAGTAGCTAAACCTCAAAATTCACCTAAATCTGAATCATAACCTCAAAATACTAACAACCAGCCACCCAGACAATCCACAACAAAGCTTACCTCACCATAATTCTAACCCAATCCCATCACACTTCCATCACAAGACTAAATATTATACGATGCTCGTAGTAACTCATTGAAATGAATAAAAAAAAAATCTGAAAAGACATAAGAAGATGTACGAGCAGAAAAGTGCTAGAGACGTTCTCAACAACGAGCAAAAGAGCGATGAAAAGATAGCTTAATGTTATATAAAATTGCATTCAATTCATTTTGTTCAAGCATATGTGCGTGTATGTATGTATGTGTAGGTGAGGTGCAGCAGATGGGGTGGAAAAATATAATAAAAATAAATTCCATCCTAATGCTATAATGAAGAATTATTTTATTGAGTTATATATACATTTTTTGGGGTACTGCTGCTGCTGCTTTTCGAGGGGGTTTATTTTTGTTATTTTCGGAAAGATTTGCTGCAGATGTTGTAGACAGAAGCAATCAGACGAGAAAGTTTTGCTGTTGCTTGTTGGACGTAAACACAGAATTAAGTTTTTGAATGAAAATAAAATCAATTTTTCAGAGTGGGATAATGAAATACAGAATTTTGTTGGATAATTGACCTTTTTGAGGTGTCAATTTACGGTTGATTGGAATTGAATTGGGGCTGGTGAACTCAAATTGGAGTTGATTTGCTTGTTTATATGCTAAAAATAATATAATTTTTTGAATTTTGTACTAGATTATTTTAACTTTGTACTAGAATTTTAAAACTTGGTACTAGATTTTTAAAAACTTAGTACTAGATTTTTAACCTCTACTGGATTTTGTACCAGATTTTTTTGTACAAGATTACATTAACTTTGTGCGAGATTTTTGCCAAAATGTACTAGATTTTTATTATTGTACTAGAAATAGATTGATTCACATTTTATTTTTTTATGACAAGAATTTTGCATTTCATAGCTCAGACTAAGTTTTCGACAAGTCTTAACCTCTATTTGCCAAAAATAGCTTCTCAACTTTCAATTTATGCCTCAAAAATACCAAATCAATCAAAACAAAACCAAAACAACAATCTTCAATCTCAGCCCTCCCGACCAGATCCTCATCATAGAAAAGTTTGACTTTCTAAATTTCAATTTATTAACCCTCAAGTTCTCGAAACTTAAACAATATTTTTTTTGCATACATCCACAGAAACTTTTCAATTTAAAAACTTTTTTTTTGCTGCTTCTGCTCGTTGACTGAAAGCATCATAAATTATAAGAAGCTTAATGAAGGTGGAAATTCATGTGAAATTTTTCCATTAATCTTCTCTCCACATCAATTTTTCAATAAGTCGTTAAATTACGCTAATTGAGTTGGATATTTATACAGTCTATCATGTTATTATTGTCGATTATTATGGTAAGCTAGTGCTGATGTTGAGTTTATGAATAATTTTTGAGATGGAATTAAAATGTGGTTTAGAGTTCAGTGGATGGAAATTTAGGGAGAATTTGGATGATTTGGGAAAATAAAGAAACAATCTGGTACAAAATTTTAAAGAATCTAGGACAACATTAAAAAATCTAGTACTTAATTTCAACAATCTAAGACAAAAATAACAAAATCTAGTCTAAAATTAAAATTCTAGTAAAAAATCGAGAAAATCTATTACAACAATAAAAAATCTATTTCATCAATAAAAATTAAGTACTCAATTTGAAAAATCTAGTACTCAATTTGAAAAATCTAGTACTCAATTTGAAAAATCTAGTACTCAATTTGAAAAATCTAGTACTCAATTTGAAGAATCTAGTACTAAATTTGAAAAATCTTGTACAAAATTGAGAAAATCTATTAAAAAATAGTCAAAATCTAATAGTTTTTGGAAATCTGGTTCAAGTCTTAGAAATCTACTCTAAAATAACAAAAAATCTAGTGTAAAATTTCAAACATTGAACAAAAATCTCGAAAATTTCCACAAATAATTAAATTTTTTTATCAAACATCTCAAATTACCATTGTTAACATTCAGAAATACTCAATTTCCTTCCAACAAGATCTCATTTACCTTCCTCATTTTAATTACTTACACAAACTCCTCTGATAAATTAACTCTTAAAACTCATCAATCTGTAAAATAAGAAAATAAGAGAATAAAATCTGGAGAAGCTGAAAATTATAAACTAAAGTTTCTGGGCTGTTCTGTCAATTGCAATAAATTTGCAAACAGGCAAAAGTTTATTTTTTTCTCATCCTTTCCTTGCTTGTACTTCCACTTACTGATTTTATTATATTGCTTTGTTGATGATAATTTGAGAGTGTTGATGTGTTTGGACTGTCTGTATGTCTGGACGGATGTTGAGCTGGATATTAATTTAATAAACTTCTGTTTTGCTGAGTAATAATCTGGCTGAGCGTTATTCTGGTTAAGCGCTTTTCAGACTGAGCGTTATTCTGGCTGAGCGTTATTCTGGTTGAGTGTTATTCTAGCTGAGCGTTATTCTAGCTGAGCGCTATTCTGGCTGAGTGTTATTCTGGTTGAGCGTTATTCTGGCTGATCGTTATTCTGGCTGAGCGCTATTCAGGCTGAGCATTATTCTGGCTGAGTGTTATTCTGGTTTAGCGTTATTCTAGCTAAGCATTATTCTTGCTGAGCGTTATTCTAGCTAAGCATTATTCTTGCTGAGCGTTATTCTGGCAGAGCGTTGATATGGCTTCCATTAAATGCTCTTTAATCCAACTTACCTCTTTTTCGCCTTTCCTACTGACAATCCTTCTGTCTCAAGAAGGCAAAAAAACTTTCTCATTGCAATTTTCAATTTTCTCATGAAAAAAAAAGTCAAGAAAAAGAGGCAAGAAATATTTTTATTCTTCAATAAATCCTCGTTACTTTTCCTTATTTTCCTCAAAACAAAAATTTCCTCTTGCCTTTCGTGACAACCGAATGGCATGTTTCGTAATTTTTGTTGTATTTGGTTTGTCTTTTTGATATTTTTATCGCTAGCTTCTTCTTAATTGCTGGAAAATTTCCACTCTTTTTGCGTTGTAAAATGTTTATTTTTTTGAGGTAGAAGCCTTACTTCTGCATTTTTGTATTGAGTTATGAGTTTGATGATGTTCTTCTTGCTCTAGCCATGTGAGTTATGAGCTAGGTGAACTTTCAATATATTTTTTTTAGTTTCGTGCCATGAGTAATCTCTCGAAGAATTTATATATTAGATACTAGATACTTCTACTGACTAAACTTCTTATTTATGGAAAAAGTTGTGAAACTTTTAGTTTCGAACTGAATTAGTTTCATTTTGGAAAAGTTTTGGGTGCTTTTTGCTGGAGGATTTGTGGGTGGGGTTGGTGAATTTGAAGACTGAGTATTCTAATCTCAAGCTGAGCGTTCCATCTAAAAATGAGCGTTCCAGTTTAAAGCTGAGCGTTTTTTACTGAGGCTGAGCGTTTTGTTCTCAAGCTGAGCGATCCCATCTCAAGTTAAGCGATTAAATCTCAAACTGAGTGATCCAGTCTCACGCTGAACGTTCCAATCTCAGCTTGAGCGATCCAACCTGAAGCTGAGCGATCCTATCTCAAGTTAAGCTGAGCGATCCAATCCCAAACTGAGCGATCAAACCTCAAGCTTAGCATTTCAATTTCAAGCTGAGCGATGCAATCTCAAGCTGAGCGGTCCAGTCTAAAGCTGAGCGATCCATTCTAACGCTGAGCATTACAATCTTAATATAGCTGAACTCTTTGCAATCAACATCCCCAACCAATTCAAATTCATCAATTTTTCCCATCTACAGCACCTCAACTGAGACTTTAATACTTCAATGTCTTCAACTTTTTCTCTTTTTTCATGTTTTCTTCAATTCTGTCACGCTCGAAAAGTCCAAAAGCAAGCGAAGGAAAATATTCTTTTTGAAAAACTTTTATCGATTTTCTTGCTTAAAAAAAAGAAAAAAAAGTCTTAAATTACGATGAACAAAAGGCAAAAAAGCAAGGACAATAAATTCTGAGAAGTCTTCTCGATTTTCAAGTTTCTGTGCGTCTCAAATTGGATTTTTTTTTATCTTTTTTTTCTTATTTTGTTACCGAATTTAAGACTTTTTAATAATCATTGAAAGCTGAAATGGGTTCAGGAAGTTCATCGGCTGTGTGAGAAGCAAGAAGGCAAAAAGATTAAATTGACGACATTCATGATGGAGTTAATGGAGTGGCTTAAGTTGTAAAAATGTGTAATAAAATTAAATTATGGGATTTTTGAGGTTCATTTTTGGAGTGCGAGCAATATGGTTTTGGGTTGGCTGTAATTAAACATTTTTAAGGGGTCTTTACGCTAGCATTTCTTGGTTAATGTGTCTTCACACTAGAGTAGCTAGATTCAGGTGACTTTACAATAGAGTAGCTAGGTTAAGGTGCCTCCACAATAGAGTAACTAGGGTTCAGGTGCCTTTCCACTAGAATTCTAAGTTAAGGTGTCTTTACACTAGGGTTCATTAAAGGTTCATCTACATTTGTGCGAATTTTTTAAACTTTTATAAATTTTTTAGCACAAATCAATTCTAATCTCAATTTTTTTCTGATTTCTCATTCCAGATTATCACATTTGAGGATAAATCCATCAAAAAAAACACAATCTTCACAATAAAAACTCAATTTTTGATATCAAACAAACCAAAATTCAACAAAAGAAAACTAAACAATTAACACAAAAAAAAATCTTCTTTTTAAGACAAGTGAAAGACAGTTGAAGAAGTTCAAAGAGGATTAATCTCTTGAGCTGCAAAAAAAATAAATTTTTCAAAGAATTATCCTTAAAAAATAATGAAAATGTCCACAAAACACATTTTTGCAACACTAAATGTGATTCTAGCACTATTAGTAAGATTTTCTACGCAATATTTGCACAATCACAACAACACATATCAATCTCGGAGTTTATGGAACATCGAGACAAATCTCATCGATTTTGGTGACGATAGTGATGAGAATTTGTTGGCATTTAGTGAGTACTATTTATCATTATTAATAAATTTTTACTTCTTCTTATTCTTTGGTTGACTGAAAAATATTTTTGAGGGGTGTTTAGAAGATTCAAGTGTACGTGAAAGTTATTAATCAAAATGTTATTGACGACAGCGGTTTTAATCATTTTTGAATGATTTTTGGAGTGGGTGTCAATAGGCGCAAATTAGGGGTAGCTAGTGTGAAGACACCTGAACCTCTAAACCTAGCGTTAAGGCACCTGAATATCAAAAACCTAGTTCTCCTTCTCACTTAACAATACAAAACCTAGTGTGAAGACACCAGAACAATATAAAACCAAGTGTGAAGACACCAGAACACTATATAACCTAGTGTGAAGGCACCTTAACCTGAAAACCTAGTGTGAAGACACCTGAACCCCAAAAGCATAGTGTGAAGAAACCTGAACATCAAGAACCTAATGTTAAGAAACCTGAACTATAAAACTTAGTGTGAAGACACCTGAAACTGAAAGCCTAGTGTGAAGGCACCTGATTAATGCAAAACTTAGTGTGAAGACACCTAAACCTGAAAACCTAGTTTGAAGGCTCCCAAATAACACCAAACCTAGTATGAAAGCAACTTAACCTCAACATTTTTTATGTAAATGCACCTGAAAATTGTCCATCTACCAATAATTCCAGATTCTTTCAAACCTTCACAAAAATCCACCAAAACGAAAAACGTACAAAAGAGGAAATAGAAAATTCCAAAAACAATTCATGTCTGCCTTAATAATGGCCAATTTGTTTCCGAGAATTTTATAGCTCAAGTACGGATCTTTATTTCACCGGAGATGATTTTATTGAGTGATACTGACGTGTAGGCTGAATATAAAGTATCTCAGTACACCCACTAGTTTGCGTGCTGTATCGGTACGCGATACACGAGGAGTGCGGTGTGGAATTTTCTTTTATGTGAGATGAACTTTAATGATGTCAATGTAGAGGTGGATTGGTATTTGGTTCCGTAATTTATTGTTCTTTATGTTTTGTTGGAATAACAAAAACGCTTTTAATCTTTGACATTTTTTTTTTATTTTTAAGTGGTTGGTGTTGGTTGCTATGGAAATTGTTTGGTCCAGGTGCCTTCACATCAGAGTTTCTAGGTTAAGTGGCTTTACACTAGGATTTTGATGTTAAGGTGCCTTCACACAATAATTTTTTGGTTCAGATAACTTCACACTAGCGTTTCTAGGTAAATGTGTCTTCACATAATAGTTGCTAAGTGCAAGAATCTTCAGAATAGAGTTTTAAGTTTCAGTCGTCTTCACATTAAAATTTTAGGGGTTCACATATATTCATACTATTATTTTGAGGTTTAAGTGGCTTCACATTGGGTCTGTGAGGTTAAGATGCCTTTACATTTGATTATTTTATGATTCAGTTGCCTTCACATTAGGTTTTTGTGATTCAAGTGCCTTCACATTAGAGTTGGTGAGTCTCAAATATCTTTACATTAGACTTTTGAAGTTTAGGTGTCTTCACACTAAGTTTTTAAGGTTCAGGTGCCTTCACACTAGAGTTTTTGGGTTCAGATAACTTCACACAAAAGTGTTTTTGTTCAGATAACTTCACACTAGCGTTTCTAGGTAAATGTGTCTTCACATAATAGTTGCAAAGTGCAAGAATCTTCAGAATAGAGTTTTAAGTTTCAGTCGTCTTCACATTAAAATTTTAATGGTTCACATGTATTCATACTATTATTTTGAGGTTTAAGTGGCTTCACATTGGGTCTGTGAGGTTAAGATGCCTTTACATTTGATTATTTTATGATTCAGTTGCCTTCACATTAGGTTTTTGTGATTCAAGTGCCTTCACATTAGAGTTGGTGAGTCTCAAATATCTTTACATTAGACTTTTGAAGTTTAGGTGTCTTCACACTAAGTTTTTAAGGTTCAGGTGCCTTCACACTAGAGTTTTTGGGTTCAGATAACTTCACACAAAAGTGTTTTTGTTCAGATAACTTCACACTAGCGTTTCTAGGTAAATGTGTCTTCACATAATAGTTGCAAAGTGCAAGAATCTTCAGAATAGAGTTTTAAGTTTCAGTCGTCTTCACATTAAAATTTTAATGGTTCACATGTATTCATACTATTATTTTGAGGTTTAAGTGGCTTCACATTGGGTCTGTGAGGTTAAGGTGCCTTTACATTTGATTTTTTCATGATTCAGTTGCCTTCACATTAGATTTTTGACATTCAAGTGTCTTCACATTAGAGTTGGTGAGTCTCAAATATCTTTACATTAGACCTTTGAAGTTCAGGTGCCTGCACATTAAGTTTTTAATGTTCAGATGCCTTCACACTAAAGTTTTGTGATTCAGATGCCTTCACATGGGTACAATATATTGAATATTCCTATCTTAACTCGCACAACAAACAAAAAATGTTCATAATTAACATATTTTATGCTCTAAATGCCATAATATCACCCAATACATCCACAACAACCTTCCACACCCCCAGTTAACCACTCATATGATCATTAATTACTTCCCATCTCCTTCCTTAACCTCTCAACGTCATATCTTACTCTCCATTCGATTTATTTCACTTTTTGTTTATCTTTTTCGTTGAATTTATGATTTGTTTTTCTTTCACACCCGCAAGTTATGTCTTCTTCATCATCATTTTTGCGCTCTACTTCTCAAGTTCCACATAACCTTCACGGGTTCATATTGATTTGTGTTTACTTATTATTATCATTATTCTTTATTCTTTTGCTATTGTTGATCTTACTATTATTTTTGTTATCTTTTCGCTTGACACTGTTGACATTAACATATTGGATTGAGGGAATTGTTCTTATTGTAGTTATGTTTGCCTTTGGGGGGTTTTATGTAGTCGTCTTGGTGGGGAGGCAGCTGCTATAACATGGAATTAGATTGTTTAACTACACACGAATGTGAATTAATGTAAGAATTTGTTCAACAAGCTGTTATTATTGAATTAATTTATTGGATGCAGTTTTGTTGTTGGGTGAATGTTAAGGCAGCTGCACATTAGGTTGTAAAAGTTCAGGTGCCTTTACACTAAACTTTTTTGAAAAGAATGTCAATTTTGAATAGTTTTTGATAAACTGTGGCTCAAAACCGTGCGTTGCACACGATTATGGGTCAATGATTTACAAGATAGTATTTTGTTTACGAGTGTTGACTAAAACCGTACACTCCACACCACTTTTGTCGCAAATAGCACGTTCCACACCACTTTTGACCAAGATGACATATTCTTCATGATTTTTGACCATAGTCGCACGTTCCACACCACTATTGACCAAACTCGTACGTTTCACACCACTTTTGTCCAAAATCGCACGTTCCACACCTTTTTTGATCAAGATGACATATAATTCATGATTTTTGACCATAGTCGCACGTTCCACACCACTATTGACCAAACTCGTACGTTTCACACCACTTTTGTCCAAAATCGCACGTTCCACACCTTTTTTGATCAAGATGACATATAATTCATGATTTTTGACCATAGTCGCACGTTCCACACCACTATTGACCAAACTCGTACGTTTCACACCACTTTTGTCCAAAATCGCACGTTCCACACCTTTTTTGATCAAGATGACATATAATTCATGATTTTTGACCATAGTCGCACGTTCCACACCACTATTGACCAAACTCGTACGTTTCACACCACTTTTGTCCAAAATCGCACGTTCCACACCTTTTTTGATCAAGATGACATATAATTCATGATTTTTGACCATAGTCGCACGTTCCACACCACTATTGACCAAACTCGTACGTTTCACACCACTTTTGTCCAAAATCGCACGTTCCACACCTTTTTTGATCAAGATGACATATAATTCATGATTTTTGACCATAGTCGCACGTTCCACACCACTATTGACCAAACTCATACGTTTCACACCACTTTTGTCCAAAATCGCACGTTCCACACCTTTTTTGATCAAGATGACATATAATTCATGATTTTTGACCATAGTCGCACGTTCCACACCACTATTGACCAAACTCGTACGTTTCACACCACTTTTGTCCAAAATCGCACGTTCCACACCTTTTTTGATCAAGATGACATATAATTCATGATTTTTGACCATAGTCGCACGTTCCACACCACTATTGACCAAACTCGTACGTTTCACACCACTTTTGTCCAAAATCGCACGTTCCACACCTTTTTTGATCAAGATGACATATAATTCATGATTTTTGACCATAGTCGCACGTTCCACACCACTATTGACCAAACTCGTACGTTTCACACCACTTTTGTCCAAAATCGCACGTTCCACACCTTTTTTGATCAAGATGACATATAATTCATGATTTTTGACCATAGTCGCACGTTCCACACCACTATTGACCAAACTCATACGTTTCACACCACTTTTGTCCAAAATCGCACGTTCCACACCTTTTTTGATCAAGATGACATATAATTCATGATTTTTGACCATAGTCGCACGTTCCACACCACTATTGACCAAACTCGTACGTTTCACACCACTTTTGTCCAAAATCGCACGTTCCACACCTTTTTTGATCAAGATGACATATAATTCATGATTTTTGACCATAGTCGCACGTTCCACACCACTATTGACCAAAGTTGCACCTTATTCACGACTTTTTGATCAAAAATCTTCACATTCAAGCTCACATACCCCATTTAAATCCACAACTTAATCTTTAACATTAAATTCCACAACAAAAAGCTTCCCAAGTTAACCCATTTAACCTATCCAACCTCACCCATCCATCCATCCATCATAAAATAAATCAAAATCCACGATTTTTCTTCTTGATGCTCCAATTTGGCTCCTTTTGACAACGACTATCAACGATATAATCAAATTAATGAACTCATTAAATCCCTCTTAAGACCGCCCTTCTTGTTTTTTTGGTTCCTTCAACAAACTTTTCATTATCATTGAGTTTGAGTTTATGAGACTTTAAATCCATCTTCATTACTTTTTTTTGCACAAACATTTTCATTTTATCAACAAAAATCTCACTTTAATGACTTGATACTGTCTGTCATGTCATGAGTTAAGGCTCTTTTTTTTGAGGGGATTTATGGAATGACATGATGAGATTGTTGTGATTTTGGTGAGGCTTTGAGGATTGTTCTAGTTTGTATAAAGTCGTGTAGGGTGTGCGGTTATGGAAATTGGAGAGAAGCAGTCGTATTGAGCATTAGAATTTGGTCAATAGTCGTGTGAAGCATGCGGTTTTTGTCAATATTCATAAATAAGGTACGATCTTGAACATCTTAGATACATAGTCGTGTGGAACGTACGATTTTGGTCAACAACCATTTGTCAAGTACAATTGTGGTTAAAAGTCGTGTGATGTGTGCGGTTTTGGTCAAAAGTCTTGTGTGACAATAGTCCAATAGTACAATAGTCGCGAGGAGCGTACGGTTTAGGTAAATAATGACGAACAAGATACTATATTGTGCAATGTTGATCAAAAGTCGTGTAGAACGTACGGTTTTTGTCACGAATTATGAATCAACCACGTAAAATCAACCACATTGATTCATAGTCGTATGGAACGTACGGCTTTGGTCCAAATGTATACTAAATTCATCAATAATCGTACAATAGCAGCGACTATTAACATTTCACATTCCAGCAGTCATAAATCACACGTTTTCATCTAAATTAATCAATATATCTTTACTGTGAATCCCCCTCCCCACCATAACCCCCCAAAAATATTCCCTAAAGTCCAATAATTTAAAAAAAAACAAAAGCAATAAGCAACCCACAAAATGTGCATAACTTTAGTCATAAATCAGACATTTTGTAGTGCAACACACTCTGTTTCGATTCACAACACACAACTGCCCTAAATATTAAAACCGCCACTAATCTTTCAACTTTTTCTTTCCTCTCAGATTGTTCTCGATTTTATGCATGCGGTTCGTTCTACTTTATGGGTTTGTGAATGGAGTTAGTTTTATGTTTTTTGGAAAGTTTTGATCTTCTAATTTTGATTGTATGTCTGGTGGGCTGGTGCTATGTGCTTTGAAGTAGATACCAGACTTGCTTTTAATTGGTAATTTGAGATTTTTGCTATTTTCTGAATTCGTTGTGGTGTTGTTTTTGGTTTAGATTGTTTTGAAATTTCGACATTTTCAACATTTTCAACATTTTCAACATTTTCAACATTTTCAACATTTTCAACATTTTCAACATTTTCACCTTTTTCACCTTTTTTCAACATTTCCAACTTTTTCAACTTTGTCAACTTTTTCAACATTTTCAACTTTTTCAACATTTTCAACCTTTTTTAATATTTTCATCGTTCTCAACATTTTCACCTTTTTCAACATTTTCAACATTTTCAACATTTTCACCTTTTTCACCTTTTTTCAACATTTCCAACTTTTTCAACTTTGTCAACTTTTTCAACATTTTCAACATTTTCAACATTTTCAACCTTTTTTAATATTTTCATCGTTCTCAACATTTTCACCTTTTTCAACATTTTCAACATTTTCAACATTTTCAACATTTTCAACATTTTCAACATTTTCAACATTTTCAACATTTTCATTTTCAACATTTTCACCTTTTTCACCTTTTTTCAACATTTCCAACTTTTTCAACTTTGTCAACTTTTTCAACGTTTTCAACATTTTCAACATTTTCAACGTTTTCAACATTTTCAACATTTTCAACATTTTCAACATTTTCAACATTTTCAACATTTTCAACATTTTCAACATTTTCAACATTTTCAACATTTTCAACGTTTTCAACATTTTCAACATTTTCAACATTTTCACCTTTTTTCAACCTCACCAATCACAGTCCAAATCATCCCTCACTGCCCTGAATTGAAATTCGCTTTTCATTCAACAATTCTACAATAAATAAATCCTTTCTCTTAGTTCCAACAACAAGTCTACATCAAATTGGCTTTTGTGCTCTCCTTCGAGCTATTTTAAAGCTATTTTGATTGAATCATTTAAAGTTCATTCTACTTTTGTGTGTCTTGTTTGCTTAGGATCTTGTATTTATCACGGGTAATTAGCACTGATTTATGTGGAAATGTTCACCATTTTGTGTTGTTAATGATACGAGAGAGAATTTTAAAAAAATAAGGTTAAAAAATAAAGAAAGTTTTGTGCATTGCGTGCTGCGGGTTGAAAAGATTTGAGGGGAATTTAAAATCAGAGAAGTAAATTTAATGAGCTTTTCAAGCTAAATGTTAGTATTGGAAATGAAATGAAGTTGCTTTCATATCATCCCTTCCTTCACTCCGAACTGGTACAGCAGATAGTGCTGTCAATTGTAAGGATGCTTTAAGCTGCACATTAACACAAAGTCAAAGGCATAAATGAAAAAAGTTCCAAAGAATTCGATTTTAATTTTCAAAAACTTTATTAAAATAAATCCCGAGTGACACAAAATTTGATGCTTGTCAAGTGGTTTTCCTGCCTGGATCTAAATTTTCTGACTCAACTCATTTAAACTTTTTTTCAAAAATTCCAACTCTTTGTCATATTTGCCAATTTTGGATGTAAAATATTCATTATCGACCTTCCATTTTTCATTCTCTTTGATCAGTTCCTCAATTTTCATGGTCAGTTCCTCATTGTTCTTCGTCAATTCTTCATTCTTTTTTGTCAAATCTTCGACTTTTTTGGTCAAGTCGTCTACTTTTTCAGTCATTTCATCTTCAAAGCTCTGCGTGTCATTTTTAAGTTCCTCAATGCTTTTCCTAACCTCAATTTTGAAGTTGTTGTCTTCATCTGTTGGACATGCCCTCGACTCACAAGATTTTGGTCTTTTTTGGTTAGCTTTTCTGGTTTGATTGAGGATTGATTCAGATTGTGACTTGATGATTTTATTTTCTAGGTTTTGGGGTCTAACATCATAAGTTTTTGGGGTTGAGGGGTCAATTTGGGTTGTATCATAAGGAGAGGTTGGGGTTGGAGTGGAACCAATCCTATGTTCATAGACTTTTGGTGTTATAACCTCAAAATAATCAATTTTTGTGGAATTTACAAGAATTTCTAGGTTATGCTTGATAGCTTCAACCTCATCCTGCAATTCCTCAATCTTTTTGAGGTTATCTGTCATTTTTAGGTTATAATTGCCTATTTTCCCGCCAAAACTGCCAACCTTTTGACTTAAAGCTGAGAATGAGTTGAATGTAGACTTGAAAGTGTCCACAACATCCTCAGTGAATTTATTGACGTCAGCATAACAAACATTTTCACAATTTCCTTTAGATCCTTTGTGGTTAAACTTGACAGTTTCGATTTTATTCTTAAATTTAAGGTAGTCATTGGATTCTCTATAATTTGGGTCATTTGTGATTCCCTCAAATCTGTCCTTGAATGTCAAAAAGTACGAAAAATTGGAATTTTGGAAGTTTTTGCCAAAAACTTTGAATTTATCGGAAAAATCTTGATAATTTTCGTGGCTTAATGTCTTTAAGCTTTTCTCCAACTTCCTCAAACTTTCTGAAATTTGTGAATATTCGATGTCAGTGCAAGTTAAACCAAGTTCCTTAATCAACACTTTGACCTCATCTAAATCATCTGAAACCCACTTAGTAGAGCATTTGTTATAGTTAAGCCATAAATGAGATAATTTGACGGAATTCTTGAACGCCCCCTCGTCAATATGAACAATTTTAGACCCCCAAAATGAAGCAAATTCCAAATTCACATTAAAGTCAAAAAGTCCGTCCTCAAGAACTTCAATGTCATTGTTGCCAAGATAAAGTGCTGTTAAGTTTGTGTATGGCTTGAAATCTCCTTGATGGACCTCTTTAAGCCTGCCATGTTCAAGATAAATTGCCTGAAGATTTTTAAAATATTTCTCAAGTCCACGCGGGAAGTAAAACGTTGTCTTATTAATGGAACTAAAGGCAACTACATCATCATTGGTCATATCTACATGATGCTTTCCTTTTGGGACATCAACTGCTGTAGCATCGATAGATGTGATGTTGAGGATGTTCATTACTTGACATTCGTATGCATGCTTAATTGCGTGATATGTGTTGGACTTTTGGAAGTTACAATCGATGTTGATGAGCGGTTGTGAGAGGTTTGCGATCGGGAGAAGGCACGAGAGGAAGCTAGAAAGGGGAAACTTTGTAGAGATTTTAAAGTAAACAATGTGGCGTATTTTTGATGGATTTTATGAGTTTTGAGAATAATTGTGAAGAAAGATTCAGGTTTTTGTACACAAACATTGAATTTTGCTTACCTAATCAGCAGTGCTGTTCTCATTTTTACAATAAAATGGGATAAATTCTTGGAAGAATCAAATTTTTCACAAGTTTTTAGTTAAATTGTTTTAATTTCTACCGAAAACTCTCAAGTAAGGAAGCAGATTTTGTTATGATTGTCAAAAAAGTTTCAAGCATGTGTGTTCGTACAAGTCTAGTCATTAGTCTAATCAACAAATGTTTGAGTGTATTATTAGCGCATTTTGCGACACGTAGGAACATTAGAAGCAACATTAGCAACGTTAGTTTTCCAAGATGACCGGAACCAAAAGTCAATACATAATTAAAGCAGAGGGAGGGGGCAGCCCGGCTAGCACAAGTTGCTTATTCGAATAGAAGTCTTGTGCCAAGCTGGCATGACTCTGAGCTGGTACTGACTTTGATTTAAATCCAGCACCATGCCAGAATCACACCGGCTTTGTGCTGGATTTCTGATCGATTAACCGACATGTGCTGGCCGGGCTCCCCCTTTCACCCTGCTTCACAATGACCATAACCGGTCAATCAATTATGTATTGGCTTTGGGTTTCGTTCATCTTTGAGAATTAATGCTGCTAATGTAGCATAGACCCAAAGTTCTAGGAACTGATTTGCCTCATTCGGGCAAGGAGGTCTGAAGCAATAGACAAGCTTCGTGTAAAGCATTAGCCACAGCTTTTAAGCTCTAGGCTCGGATGGAACATGACTTAGGAAAGTCAGATAATAGTGTCGTAAAACCGGCATGAAGCTGCATTAAACCTGACTCAAAGACAACCTTATGCTTGCCTAGTTTGACTATCTTACGTCAGTTTAGTTCTTGATTGTTCTAGACCGACACCTGATTGCAATTAAGGATCTGATAAACTGACTAGAAATATCACCAAATGTCCAAATGTTCTTCCAAAATACAAAATGACTCAAAACTCTCAAATTCATCAATGATACAAAATTGTCATTAAACTAGGCTAATACGTTTTCAGACGAAGATGTCAAGGCTAATCAATGTCAAGGCCATGCACAAAATAATTCAGTATATATGCCCACGTACGTTGTCATAAAGAGAGCAAAGAGACAAGATTCTTTTGAGTTTATTGACAAATTATGAACAAATTCTCTTTAAATTGACTCAAATTTACTCAAACTCTTGATGATTCTTTACTTGAAGGACTTCCCCCACCCATAATAATCTCAACGAACATTTTTCATTTTAATTCATCAGCACTGCTTCATTAAAATTTCATTTAAAAAGCGATCTTCAAGATTTTTTTTTTCATCATTTTACTCTTAAAAATCCGCGCTAGTCTCGTGTCTTGAAAGTTTCATCTTTATGATTATGAAATATTTTATGTACTTTTTTTTACATCCGCACACTTAGTGGAGCAACGGCAGCAGAAAGCAGCACTTTTTGCATATAATTTAAGGGAAAATTTTTGTGCTCATATTCTTACGATAATCCATCTTGAGAGGAGAGAAGATGAGAATAAGAAAAGGGTAAAAAGAGACGAAGTATTATGATAAGAGAAGAAGGAAGTCAAGTTTGAAAGTAAATTGAGTTAAATGTATAAAGCGCATTTTTGAGATTCAGTCGCCTTTACACTAGATTTATATAGGTTCAGGTGTCTTCACACTAGGATAATTCTGTTTCAGGTGCCTCCACGCTAAGTTCATTTTGGATAAGGTGCCTGCACACTAGAATTTTGAGGTTAAAAGCACTTTATACTAGAGTTTTAAGGTTAAAAAGCCTTCACACTAGAGTTCGGCTGCATTCACACTAGGTTTGTCGAGATCAGGTGCCTTCACACTAGGTTTGTCGAGTTCAAGTGCCTTCATACTAGGTTAGTCGAGTTCAGGAGCATTCACACTAGGTTTGTCGAGTTCAAGTGCCTTCACACTAGGTTAGTCGATTTCAGGAGCATTTACACTAGGTTTGTCGAGATCAGGTGCCTTCACACCAGATTTTTCAAGTTTAGACGCCTTCACACTTGATTAATCGAGTTCAGGTGCCTTCACACTTGAGTATTGAGTATTAGACGGCTTCACACTTGAATTTTAGTATTCAGTTGCCTTCAATCCAGATGTGTAAAATTAAGGTGCCTTTACACTAGCTCACATTCCTCAAAAATCAGATCTAAATATGATTTCTCGACTTCCACATAAGATAAGCGCACCATGTGTGCATAAATATCTTTCTGTAGCCAAATCTCCATCTGTATGAGTAGAAATAATCACAAGTAAAAAAAAAAGGATTTCATTTCAATCTGGCATGAAAAATATCAAGAATTTTTCTTTTGTTTTATTTGAAGCTCGTCTCATAAGCACCCCTGGGGAATACATAAGAAGAGTAAAAGAACTTTTAGGTTCTCATATTTTTTTTTCGGCTGTGCTGTGCCTCAAGTCGCTCAAATAAATGATCATGATGATGATGATGTTGACGAGAAGAAGGAATCTTAAAGTGTTTAATGTGAAATTATTTTGTTACTTGAGAGGATTCTCCTCAATTTTTGAGTGGGATTATCTGATTGTCGTTGGTTGAGGACTTCTTTTTTGATTGTCTTAAGATGCAGACTTTAAGTGAGCTATCTAAGTTGTGTGTATGTCTGTGGGCGTAAAGGTTTTATGTGAGTAAGTTTTTGAGGGCTTTGATTGTAATTTGTATGTTTTGGGAGCAGATAAATTGAGTTGTGGAGATTGAAAAGTGGTTCTGACTCTAGGTTTTTTTATTGATCAGGAGCCTTCACACAAGAGTTCCTTTACACTAGGTTTTTTTAGTTTAAGTGTCTTCACATTAGGGGTTTTTTGTTCGGGTGCCTTCACACAATAATTCCTATGTTATGGTGCCTTCACGCTAGGTCCTTTGTTCAGGTGCCTTCGCACTAGGTTTCTTTTGTTCGGGTGCCCTCACACTAGGTTTCTTTTGATCAAGTGCATTCAATTAATGAATTGTTAGGTCGTAAATCCAAGGATAAAATTAATGCAGTCTTTAATGATCAGCATGAATTGATTGTAGATGACAGAGAAATAGCTGAGCGACTTAATAATCATTTCATAGAAAGTGTCTCGTCAATGAGAAATAACTTAAAACCGAGCTTGTTCAACATCGACACTCCCTCTGTAGATAAAACTATGGTATTGGATGAAACTTGTGAAGAAGAAGTCCGCTTGACAATCAATTCACTCAAAAAATCTTCACCCGGAATTGACGGCATCACAGTGGAGATGATAAATTATTTGGCTGACGATCTTTCGCCTCTGCTTTCTCATTTAATTAATCTTATGTTTGAAACGTGTGTCTATCCTGAATGTCTTAAAACAGCACTAGTCATCCCATTAAATAAAACTGGAGACAAAACAAATGTCAGCGATTACCGTCCCATTTCAATGCTTTCAATACTCAACAAAGTCATCGAAAAAATTCTGCTCAAACGCTTGCAAAATTTCACACATGACTTTATAAATTTAATATATAGTCGACAGTATGGGTTCCGCCCAAAATGCAACACCGAAATCGCAGCAATTGAGCTTGTTCAGTATATTCAAGACGCAATTGATCGGAAGCTTAAAGTCTCAATGATATCAATGGATTTGCAGAAAGCATTCGATGTAGTTGACGTTGAAAAACTCATTGAAGCTCTATCAAATGCTGGAATTAGAGGAAACGCACTTAAACTGATAAACAGCTACCTGATTCAACGTGAACAAGTCGTAAAAGTTGGCGACAAATTGAGTTCATCTATCAAATTCTCTCAAGGAGTTGTTCAAGGCTCTATACTCGGTCCATGGCTGTTCACCATATTTATCAACTCTATTGCAAACCTTCAACTTCACGGAAAGCTGTTCTTATACGCTGACGACTGCATTTTACTTAATATTCATGACCAGCACGAAGATATTTCTGCCAAGATCTGCAATGATATGAAATTAATTATTAATTTTTTCTGTCACCAAAATCTGATTATAAATCAATCGAAAACTAATTTTATAATCTTCCACTCTTCTTATTTAAAAATTAATGAACCGGATGAGATATTGGTTGAATCGAAATCTGAAGACTCAGTAAAGATTGCTGGATCATACATAATCAAAAGAGTCGAGACAGTCAGATATTTAGGGCTTATAATGGACTCACAGCTGAAATGGGATTATCATATAAAGCATATAGAATCAAAAATATCTAGTGCAGCGGGAATACTGTGGAAGCTTAAATCACAACTGCCTACATCGACTAAAAAGACTATTTACACTGCACTCATTGAATCTCATTTGAATTACCTCACACCTATTTGGGGTAGCGCCAGCGATTCAGCCTTAAAATCACTCCAAGTCATCCAAAACCGAGCATTGAGAAACGTTTATTGTCTGGACAGCAAACAGAATAGAGTCGAGATGTACCTTAATCAAGTGGATAATTTTCTTCCACTAAGAGCTATATTTTATACAAATACTGCAGCATTCATGTTCAATTGCCTAAAAAAAAGGTATCACAATAATTTAGATTTCTCATTTACCATTCCCAGAAGTTCCAGAGCAAGAAGCTATATAAAGCCGCAAAAATCAAACACTCAATATGGCTCTAGAAGAATTTCTGCAATTGGCCCGAAGATATTTAATGAGCTGCCTGAGAATATCCAAAAATGCCATCACATCTATTCTTTTAAGAGAGCAATTAAGAATCATATTAGGAATGAAGATTTCTTGAATTCCTGCTTTAACGGCAAATTTATCGGGAAATATGTGTAGCGACCTGAAATTTTAAAGTTTTTCACCCTTTTAATTTTTTTGCTCATTTCTGTCTGTATAGACACTTATCTAATGCTCCTTATCGTCCATAAACTGCTTCCTAAACGTTTTTATCTGTTTAATTTGATGTTCACTGTTTATTTACTATTTATTGCTATTTATTATGTTTTGTTTACTTTTTTTACCGAGATGATACAAATTTAAGCAATTCTCGAATTTTCGAAATTTGAACCAATTCAAACTAGTTTCAGACGTTACATCATGCTCGTATTTAACACAATTTTAAAGATATTTCAACGCTATTTAATTAAAGCTTAAAAATTTTTTTTTTGTAAGAAAGAGTCTTAAAGGAGACTAATGTCTCATTGATCTCTTTCATAGTTTTAGTTATTCAAATAATTCATGTTAACAGTAGATAGTTAAGAATATATGTAATCTCCATAAAGGTTTTTTATGCCTTCTCAAACAGTTTAAGTACTGTTTGAGGAGGCTTTTTCCTTTACGTGGAGAGTAAGTATAAAAAGTTAAGGTTTTAAATAAAAAAAAAAAAAAAAAAAAAAAAAAAAAATCTACATGCAAAAAAAAAAAAAAAAAAAAAAAAAAAAAAAAAAAAAAAAAAAAAAAAAAAAAAAATTCACACTAGGTTTCTTTTGTTCAGGTGCCCTCACACTAGGTTTCTTTTGTTCAAGTGCATTCACACTAGGTTTCTTTTGTTCAGGTGCCTCCACACTAAGTTTCTTTTGATCAGGTGTCTTCACACAAGAGTTTCGAAGTTCAGGTGCCTTCCAGTAGGTTTCTTTTCTTCAGATGCCTTCACATAATAGTTCCTATGTTCAGATGCCTTCACATAATAGTTCCTATGTTCAGATGCCTTCACATAATAGTTCCTATGTTCAGATGCCTTCACACTAGATGTCATTTATTAAGGTGCCTTCACACGAGAGTTCCTATGTTCAGATGCCTTCACACTAGGTTTATTTTGTTCAGGTGCCCTCACACAAGAGTTTAGAAGTTCAGGTGCCTTCACACTATTTTATTTTGATCGGGTGCCTTCACACAATAGTTCCTATGTTCAGATGCTTTCAAACTAGGCTTATTTTGTTGGTAGAGATTCAGTTGTCTTTATATTAAGTCTTCTTCACCGTTATCACAGTTTATGCTCAAGCCAGCTTCTCAGAACTCATAAAATCTCATATCAACATTATTTTTCATCAGAATCTTATCATTTAACCCAAGAAATGCTTCCGTTTCATACCCAAATCTTAAATGTCATCACATTCACATCCCACAAAATCCATACTGATCCTTCTTCCTACTTTTTTCATGATAAAAATAACTTAACTCCCCTCCATAACTTGCCATAAAAATAAAGAAAGATTGATCTCATTGTTGACAGTTGACTAAACTAAAACTTTCAATCAACCTCGATTTGTGCTCCGTTCCATTCCATTCCTTGACTTGAAGACTTATTTAATCCGTAAAAAGGTTCACAAAATGAGATCGATTGATATCTAAACTGATTGATGGACTGCCTATGTGTCGAATTGTATTTAAATAATACAAAAATCTCTTTTTTTCTGCCTCCGAGACAGATTTTTCTTTTAGATTGTTGTTTATTTGTGTGTGGATTTAATGAGGACACAAATAAGAAGTGAAAGTGGCCCTGCAGAAAGGTAAAAAAATTGGTTACAAATACTCTGTGGGATGTTGACGTAAAGTTCCTGTAAATGCGGATGGGTATTTGTAGGAGTTTATGGGAAAAATTTGTGTGGTTAAGGCTCAGTCGGGGTTGTTTTTGGTGTGATTGTGATGATGATGACATGCTAGAAAGTTTGATGAACTTGTGGATCGTGTGAAAATGCTGAGGGATATTAAACTGAATTGATAATGGCAATGTTTTATGATTTATTCATTATTTTAATGATATACTGTAATGTAAAGGCACCTGAATCGAAGAAACTTAGTGTCAATGCAAAAATCTAGTGCGAAAGCACATGATCCATAGAAATGTAGTGTGAAGACACCTGGTGTGAATGCACCTGAAACCACAGAAATCTAATGTGAAGCACGCGATCCATAGAAATCTAGTGTGAAGACACCTGAACCATAGAGATCTAGTGTGAAGACACCTGGTGTGAATACACCTGAAACCACAGAAATCTAGTGTGAAAGCACATGATCCATAGAAATCTAGTGTGAAGACATCTGGTGTGAATACACCTGAAACCACAGAAATCTAGTGTGAAAGCACATGATCCATAGAAATCTAGTGTGAAGACACCTGGTGTGAATGCACCTGAAACCACAGAAATCTAGTGTGAAAGCACATGATCCATAGAAATCTAGTGTGAAGACACCTGGTGTGAATACACCTGAAACCACAGAAATCTAGTGTGAAAGCACATGATCCATAGAAATCTAGTGTGAAGACATCTGGTGTGAATACACCTGAAACCACAGAAATCTAGTGTGAAGACACCTGGTGTGAATGCACCTGAAACCACAGAAATCTAGTGTGAAAGCACATGATCCATAGAAATCTAGTGTGAAGACACCTGGTGTGAATACACCTGAAACCACAGAAATCTAGTGTGAAAGCACATGATCCATAGAAATCTAGTGTGAAGACACCTGGTGTGAATACACCTGAAACCACAGAAATCTAGTGTGAAAGCACATGATCCATAGAAATCTAGTGTGAATACACCTGGTGTGAATGCACCTGAAACCACAGAAATCTAGTGTGAAAGCACATGATCCATAGAAATCTAGTGTGAAGACACCTGGTGTGAATACACCTGAAACCACAGAAATCTAGTGCGAAAGCACATGATCCATAGAAATCTAGTGTGAAGACACCTGGTGTGAATGCACCTGAAACCACAGAAATCTAGTGTGAAAGCACATGATCCATAGAAATCTAGTGTGAAGACACCTGGTGTGAATACACCTGAAACCACAGAAATCTAGTGTGAAAGCACATGATCCATAGAAATCTAGTGTGAAGACACCTGGTGTGAATACACCTGAATCCACAGAAATTCAGTGTGAATGCACCTAAATCTCAAAACTCTATTTTGAAGACATCTGAACCTCAAAACTCTAAATTATTTATTAATAATCTCCCCCTTCCAATAACCCCCATCAAATCCATCCTCCACAACAGACATCACACACACACTTCTAACAATATTGTCCTAAAACGTAAGCAGCGAGATAGTATCGTAATAAAATATTAATAAAAACGTTGACATTGATGATAATGATGATAATGATTACGGCCATAATAGCATTTTATGATCCATAATGACAATAACTTCCATTTCGTTATGAACTTAAAGAGCTTATGGGACTGGCAATTTAAGTACTAAAGTCAATTGATTGATTGTTTTTTAATGCTGTTGTTTAGGAATTTTTTTGCTGTTTTGTTTTTGGGTGGTGATGATTACGGGGTGGCTTGTGGTATCTTTAATGAGAATTGGCATTCTATAGAAAGAAAAGGGGAAAATATCCTGATTTTTATGGCCAGCCCCTACACAAAATGACTGCTTATCATTACGTAAGATGTAAAATATTTAATTTAATTCAAAAAATTAAATATTTTAAGATCAGTTCCGAGTTTTTTCGGCCAACCCCTGTTAAATTAGATGTCCTTTGAACTTGATTAACACTCTGTTAGCAAGATTACTCCCACTTCTTCAAAATTCTCCCATTGAAATGCCCCACCAACTTTAAAAAACTAATTAAAAGCCACCCACATCCAACATCAAGTCATCGTCAAGTCAAAAACAAGCCATTTACATAGTCTCATAAGTCTTAACGCCAACTTAATGAAAAATCATTTACACTACGTAGTCAGAAGCTCAACGCTTTTTTGTGTCACTTACAAAAAAAGTATTTTTGTGACTCTCAACCATAATAAGAACAATTTTAGCGAGATTAAGACACACAAACGCACAGACATGACATAATTTGACAGTAAACATTCACGTGGGGGCCTAAAATCATTAAAAATGAAATGTCTTAATGCTGATCGGAGGCAGCATCGTCGGTAACAGAATTGAGGTGAACGGAAATTTGCTTATTAACCCAAAAAAATTGGAAACTTGCCCTTCATCATTTCCATTTATTGTTGAAAAACCTTTTTGAGTGGTGCTGGGTGTGAGGCACATAATGGATATAAAAATGAGGAGGCGGTGGATGACTCGATGATGGTTTACTGAATAAATTGAAGAATCGTGAAGCTTTTAAGGCTATGTTGTACCTTTACAATATAAATTGTGATGCCTCAGTACTTACATTAAGCCTTCGTACCTTCACGCTGCTGCTGATGCTTGCTCAAAGTTATTTATAAATGTTTGACGAAATTTATTTGAACTTTCACCTTCGCATCGATGCCCTTTTTTGATGAGCAACTTTTTTTTCTTTTGACAAACATTTTTCACGCGAATTTTCATTTCGGTTAGTGCTGAAATTCAATTGAGCTTTGTGGGTTTTGATGTGCAACAACGTTTTGGGGTTTGTTTTGCTTTGTTGCCAGATTTTATATTAAACTTTAAGCTGTGTTGCCAGACTTTACTGAAACCTAATTTGCAAGCTGCGATTTAAAATTGCTAGCTACCTTTAAAGACTTAGATTCAAAAATTATAAGCTGTGTTGCCAGATTTTATATAAAGTTTTTGGCTATGTTGTCATATTATAATCAACGTCTAAAATTATATTGTCAGAAATAATTCAGAACACAAAGGTTTTTTTGCCAAACTTTCTTCAAAATTTAAGGCTATGTTGCCAAACTTAACTCAAAATTTAATGCTACGTTGCCAAACTTTCCTCAAAATCTCACAAATAAATACCAATGACTAACACAACCATCAATTTTTTCATCCAATTTCAGATCCCTGCCTAGTTCACTACTGTCCGAAAGGCATGGAATGCATAATCGCACCATCAAACGTCCCAAAGTGCATTTGTCAACGACGATGTGTAATTTACAATAAACGAAAGCGACGACATGTCTGCGGAAGCGATGGCATCATTTACGATAATTTCTGTGAACTTTATCGTGCAGCTTGCAATGCACAAGAGGAAATAATCATTTCAAGCATGGATAGCTGTGTACGGAGTCAACAACAAAAGCTCCAATGTAGTTCCGATGAATATGCCTTGATGAAGGACAACTTGTTGCTATTTCATCACCAAAATATGGTCTATTTACAGCATGGCGACGATGATCATCTCGTCCATCGAATGGAATATCTTGTGTCGATTATATTCTCACATTACGACCAAAATAATGATGGACTTGTTGAACGCGATGAGCTGCAATTTATGTGGAATACAATGGACATGCATCATGTATCGAATGACTCAAATTGTACACTGATGGATATGTTGATTTATGATGACAACAATGAGGATGGTGTACTGACTATTACTGAGTTTAATGATGCTTTTCATAGGATTTCAGAGACGGTGGTGAGGCAGACTACTCAGGTAAGGATTGTGCGGGTTTTGAATGCGCTTTATAGACCATTGACTAGGAACTGTCTTACTTGTTTGGATTTTTTTGATGGAATTGATTGAATTAGTAACCAAAAATAATAGTTTATTAATTTTTGGATGTCTGCTAACCTCAAAATTGTAAAAATGCGCTCTATGCACATATTTGAAGAGAGTTTCTAACTTTTTGGGTTTTCAAAAATAATTTTAATGATTTTTGACCAAAAGCACACCATTTTTGGAGAAAAATGCGCTCTATGTAGTATTTGGAAGAGAGTTTCTAACTTGTCCTAACCTAAAAATTTAAAAATATGCGCCATAACCTCATTTAAAATCTAAAAGTGTCCCAAAACTTCATCACAATCACTAATTCTCATCCCAATCTCTCTTTAATTTTAGCTGAATCACATTCACCTCGACTCATCCCTCCAGTTCAATCACCTCGTCGTTCGTATTGGCGACAATGTTGAAATCAAATGTGACATCAACGGTCCACAAACGAACATAATATGGAAGCGCTTCGGCTATGACCTTTCGCTCGTCAACAATAGTACGGACGATGACGATGACGAGATAAAATTGATGCAGGATGGCGGTCTCTATATCACAAATGTCCAAATGAGACATAGTGGAAATTATACATGTCAAGCTGCCATTGATCCTCAGGTTATACAAACACATATCGTGACGGTCCATATGCAACCGACAATTGTCATAACGCCAAGAGAACAAAGTCGAAGGCCTAACGAACGAGCCGAGATTTTATGTCATGCGATTGGTGGCATGCAGAGTCAAATTGAATGGCTGAAGAATGACAAGCCATTGGAACCGGAGTACGGAAGGAAGTATACAATAGCTGGAAATGGGACGTCTCTGATGATTAATCGATTGGACTATCCGGACACGGGAAGTTATACTTGTATTGCTGGCACTGTCAAGAGTCAAGTGTCGACAATTGTTGTTCAAAGTGATCCAATTCCGTTGGCCATGCACAGAGATGAGAAAATATTCATTTTTCATGACGACGGCATTTCAATTTATTCAACAAATTTATGTCAACTTGTGCATCGAATTAATCCACTTGATACAATACTGAGAACGAATGAGACAGTCTGTCATCGATATGCACAAAAGTGTTCGTGGGGTACGGCAGTTGGAATTGATGGAACTGATGGAAGTGATGGGTTGATTTACATAGCACAGCCAATGATGGATAGGATCTTAGTGCTGTCTATGCTACAACATATTGTACTTGAGACAATTAGGACAGACACGACACCAATGGAACTCTTTCATGTTCCAGCACATGATCAACTTTGGGTCGTCAATTATAATCTTCATCGGGAAGGAACAATCAAGGCAGATCCAGCAAAGACACTTCAAATGATTCCAGATGTAAGAATGGCTCATGTTAAGCACAGAGCAGTTCATCCGAGTGAGTCAAGTATGCAAGTCAATGGGGACATTATGCAGTTCTACTTACCACCAGTTAATGCTCTGCCGCACTTGTATGACTACAGATATGGATTTGTGACTCATCATCAACAGCGAGGGTTCTGGAAGTTGGATTTGGAACTGATGAGATATGAGAAGTATGTGGATCTGTCTATTTATGACTGCATACCTGAGTTTATTAAGATTGGTGGATTGTGTGAGTATTTTGGAATTTAGATTTGAATTTTCCGTTAAGAAAATATTTTCTAACCTCAAAAAATTATTTTTTCCTAGACGGCTTCATCGTTGTGTCTTGCATGGAGCCAGCACTTCACCACCCAACCGGTCAAATAGTCCTCGACACAATCACCTCAACAATAATCTCAATCAAGGCTGATCTAATTGGCATTCCTTACTTTTCGCCCGATTCAAGACATGTCATCACAGTCAGTCACCGACATGATACAGTTCTAATCTCCGTCCAACAAGTAACACTTGCCGGTCTAAATTTTGCATTCGATGTTGAAACAACTTTAAATATAAGTGACATAACGTTCGTCAAGAGCAGTGTATCGATGAATTTTGATGTATACGCAACGACAGATAAGAGTGAGATCCTTTATTTGAGCTTAGAGACGGGAAAGGTTGAGACGATAACGGGAGTTGGTGAGCCGGCTATTAATACGTGGTTTAATGGTGGACGGAAGATTAAGGAGTCAGGTATGATGGATGTAAGGGGGGAACAATGTGATGGGGAATGGTTTTATTTGAAATTTTCATAAGTTTCCCGCCTAAATTTTGGCGGGAAATTTGAAAATTCTAATTTTGGGAGAAAACTTTCGGTAATTTTTCATAAAAATATTCCCACCAAGTTGTTACCCCCCTGGATAATTATTTTAAATTTTTTTAAAAATTCTAACCTCAAAAATCTTTGCAGATCTCACAGCAAACCTCATTGCATCGCCATCGAAAGACGCTTTTTACATCATTAGTACACGCACTAGAAATATTACATGTCAGGTTGATAATTTAGAGAATCCTAATGAAATTGTGTGGTCTAGAGCTGATTAAGTAGAAAAATTAAGAAAAAAAAACAATTTAATCAAAAACAGAAGTCGAGAATAGAGTTGAAAAAAGAATCAAGCAAGGAATTTAACAAAGTATTAATGAATGATTTTTAAGAGTTGAGTTTGTTATGCTTTTTAAGTGGAATCAAATCAATCAGACGAAACCTTTTTGTGTAATTTTGTGTATCTTTTTGTGCTTTTGATATTTTTCTTTTAATTTAGGCTTTTTGGAGAGTTTTTGATGATTTATTTGGGGTGATTTATTTATCGAGAGGTGTTGACTACCCTAAGGAGGGGGAAGACCATTTTACTTAAATAGTGAGCCTGGATCAGACGTCCTAACCTTGAAATCAAGTCTAGGTCTAGTCTAGGTCTAGTCTAGGTCTCGTGTAGGTCTCGTCTAGGTCTAGTCTAGGTCTAGTCTAGGTCTAGTCTAGGTCTAGTCTAGGTCTAGTCTAGGTCTAGTCTAGGTCTAGTCTAGGTCTAGTCTAGGTCTAGTCTAGGTCTAGTCTAGGTCTAGTCTAGGTCTAGTCTAGGTCTAGTCTAGGTCTAGGTCTAGTCTTTTTATGATTTTCATGATTAAGTTTCAAAATTCAATCAATAAATTGGATGCTTATTAAGTTGTAATCATTTTTGAAAGTAGTGGACCAAAATTAGAATTTTAAAATTTTCAAAGTTTATTTAATTTTTATATCAAAATAAGAACACTCCAAAAAGCTAAAAATGACCTTATTATTAGATTTTTTGTGCGAATTAAGAAAAAAAAGTAATTTAATTTTTAAGAAAATAAAAAAAAAAAATGAGTTTTTTCAGTTTTGGAAGATTTGTGGCTTATTATTTTTAAAAAATTCGACATAAATCTTCCAAAACTATAAAACAAATAAATTAACAAGAAGAAAAAATCACAAAATTAAATAAAATCCATATCATATTTATTAAATGAAATTATATTTAAAATATTTAACTTTAAGTGTCCCACAAAAATTGTATTTTCGGCTTTAATTGAGAAAAAAAATGATTTATTTTAAAAATTATAAAAGTTCATAAATTTTGCAGATAAATTTGATTTTTTTGAGGATTTATTTGATTGTAAAATTCAGAATTTGTGACAAAAATCAGTAAAATTGAAGTTTGGTTATTTTAAAAAATCATAAATTTTAGAGACCAGAGATAAATTGAGAGAAAATCGAAATAAAAAATACCAGAAACATCCAATAAAATAATTAATTTACTTCCATCGAAAGCAAAAAATTTTGAATTTCAAATAAAAATGCATCCATAAATTTTAAAATTCAATCAATATTTTTCCTCAATCAATCAAATTTGTCTGCAAAATAAAAAAAAATAAAAAATCCACCATAAATAAAAAATAAAAACAGGTCAATTCAAGTCCATCAATTAAATCAACTCACAAATGTACACATATTTAAAGAATATAAATTGAATTATGATTAATTAGAGAGGTGCAAGATATATAAAAATATAAAAAATATATATTTGAAGATCAATAATAAAGAAATTTCAATTTATTTCAATTTTATTCAAAGTCTCGTTTTGAAAAATATGAAAATTTAAATTTCAAAAATTTTTGTTTTTTTTAAAATTTTAAGAAAATTAAAAGTTAAAATTTTGATACATAAATTTTTTATTTAGATTGAATATCTGATTTTATTTGAATTTTGAATTTTTAAATTTATTTGAAATTTTGAATTTTTAAATTTATTTGAAATTTTGAATTTTTAAATTTATTTAAAATTTTGAATTTTTAAATTTATTTGAAATTTTGAATTTTTAAATTTATTTGAAATTTTGAATTTTTAAATTTATTTGAAATTTTGAATTTTTAAATTTATTTAAAATTTTGATTTTTAAATTTATTTGAAATTTTGAATTTTAAAATTTATTTGAAATTTTGAATTTTTAAATTTATTATTTTATTACTTTTTAAATAATTTTAACAAAATCCTTACTTTTTCTAGTTTTGGATGCTACAGGAAGGCAAACTGAGAAAAAAATTTAAAAAATTATTTAAAAAAATTCCACCGTGAGTAAAATGCAAATGGACACGTTTGTGCTTAATAGGAAAAATTATAAAAAATGCAAGAAAAAGTAAATTAAATTAAAACTAAACTAAACCAAAAAAACATATTTAAGAGAGAAATTTTTCACATTCACTTTTTACACACACAAAAAATCATAAAAATAAATAAAATAAATTAAAATAATTCATGGAAAAATAGAAAATTTTAGAGCAAAAAAACTGTCCGCTATAAAAATAAATAAATTTTTCGGTACCTAACCTTAAAATAAATCTGCAATTCATGTATAAAAAATTCATTCTGAAATATTAATAAAAAATAGTCAAAATTTTCATAAATTCACAAAAAATAAAAATATAAAAAAATCATGAACGTATAAAAAATGTGAGAAAAAAGTGTAGAAAATGACGAAGAAAACCGAATGTAAAATAATAAATTAAAATTTAGATGGAAGTAATAAAATCGAAATGGAATTTAGTGGAACAAGAAATATAAAAAATTTAAAAATGCGAAAAGTAAAAAATAAGAAATAAAAAATTTATGATATAAAATGATATAGAAAACTGTAAAATTTAAGGTGAAAAATAAAAACAATATCAAAATAAAATATTTAATTTTATTTAAATTTATTTCCTCAAGTTTTCAAAAAAGCTATTTTTGGGCTATCAAAAGTTGTTGTTGAAGCTTTCATAAATCTCCTTGTGAGCTTTTAAAAAAGATTTTTTTGGGGGGTTTTGAAAAAAATAAATAAAAAATTTTAAAATGTTTTGATTAGAGCTTTCAAAAAGCTCTGGTTAAAGCTTTTAAATAGTTCTGGTTAAAATTTTTAAAAAGTTATTTTTAAAGCTTTCAAAAAACTCTAATTAAAGCTTTTAAAAATCTCTGGTTAAAGCTTTTAAAAAGCTCTGGTTAAAGCTTTTAAAAAGTTCTGGTTAGAGCTGTTAAAAAGCTCTAGTTAGAGCTTTTAAAAAGCTCTGGTTAAAGCTTTTAAAAAGCTCTGGTTAAAGCTTTTAAAAAGCTCCGGTTAAAGCTTTTAAAAAGTTCTGGTTACAGCTTTTAAAAAGTTCTGATTAAAGCTTTTTAAAAATTTTCGATTAAAGCTTTCAAGAACCCAAAACTTAACTTTTGAAAGCTTTGACTCGATTCTTGAAAAGTATCAATATAAACTTTTAGAAACTTTTGTAAGACTTTTTAGATATTTGAGCTTTTGAATGTTTCTTTAAAAGATTTTACAGTTTTATGGCTGAGCTTTTGAAAGCTCTTGACTCAGATCCTTCAAAAGCTCAAAACAGAAGCTTCAAAATGATAAAATTCAAAAGCTTTAACTTAAAAACATTTGAAAGGTTTTTTTTAACAAAAGCTCTTAAAAGCTCCTAAAAAGCTCAAAAAGCTTTTCAAAAAGCTCAAAAAGTTTTTCAAAAAAGCTCAAAAAAAGCTTTTCAAAAAAAGCTCAAAAACCATTTTTAAAAATTAAAAAAATATTTTAAGAGGACCAAAATTCATTGCTTTATTACTAATTGCGTCCACCCTTGTGTTTAAATATCATTAATCATTTTAATCAACTTTTTCTCCAAATTCTTAAAACTCTTGTCGATCTTCTTAACAAGTCTCTTTTCAAAAAGCTGAAATTTCTTGTCCCAATCTGAATTAGCTTTTGGCTTCTTCGTCGTATTTTTGCGTATTTCAATGTTGTATTCCATATTGGACACCCAAGTTGTGAACTGATTATTAAACTTGTCTAATTCATCATCAAATTCATCAATTTCCTGTTCCAATTCGGACCCAGCTGTCTCATCAAAATTGTCCAATTTAGAGTCAATCATGTTGGTCCGGAAGTAAATGTCGTCTGTCTCAAGTTCCTTGATTTTTGTCTCAATCGAATTAAAGTTCTCGAGTTGAGTGAACTTTTTGTCATTTTTGAGTCTCTCAAGTCGGTCGTTAAATGACTGAAAGTATGAAAATTTTGATCCTGTAAAGTTATTTTCAAGGCTGTAAAGTCGATCGGAAAAGCTTTTAAAGTTATCAAGTTTCAATGTCTTAAAATCTTTTTGTAATCCCTTGAGGGTGCTGTTAAGGCTGAGATACTCAGAATTAAGGCATCCAGCTTTAATTTTTACAATTAGTTCCTTTACAGATGCAAAATCGTATGCTGGATTTGAATTTTGACATTTGTTGGACATGAAGCTTAAAAATGTCAATGACGCGAGTTTGTCAAAGACATTTGAGTCAACATGCAGGATCTTGTTACGTGACAATGAGATCCACTGCAAAGCTGTGTTAAAATCAAAGATTCCTTCCTCAAGAATCCCCAAATCATTCCCTTCTAAGTCAAGGACTGTCAAACCTGCAAATGGCTTCAAATCCGTCTGATTCAGATGCTTTAGTTGACATTCATTGACTTGAATCACTTGCAGAGCAGTAAACAGCTTCTCAACACCTTTAAAGAAGTAATTCATTATTTTATTTCGGATATCAAGTGCGTAGACATGTCCATTGGTATAGCCGCCTGTCATATGCTGTCCAGTCACTGTGTCAACTATGAGCTCTTCTGTTGAAGTTATGTTGAGGTTAGACTTTACGTCACATCTGTAGACTCCACCAACAACATGGTACGACCACTTTGTATTGAATTCACATTCAAGGTTGATTGATGATGTGTATGAGATGAGCTGCAGGATGCATATGGCGAGGCTGTGGACACGAAATCAAATTTTAATAGTGACTGGATGTGCAAAAGGGTAAGACTGACTTGTTGCAGGTATCTCGAAGTAAATACAAGATGCAATATGCTCAATTTCTGATCAAACTAAGAGCACTGGACGGTATCAAACATAGACAGCACAAAAAAAGCATACAAGTCGTCTCAAATCAGCACAGATTACAATTCATGACGTCATTAATACTCACAATATTAACTTAATTTCCATCATACTCGATTATGTGTTCCTCGATCAGTTGCTTTAACCTAGCAAGGGTGATTCTGTCTACCTTGATTCCACTGATCTTCTTCCTCCAAAATCAAGTTCCAAACTGATTGACTTCCTCCAATTTCCTCATCCATTTTATACTCATTTGCTCAGTTCCTTCCAAAATTTCTCAATTCGATCCAATTCACGATCATCAATTTGAGTCATTCGGGTTTTATTATTTTGATAAGGCACAGACAAAAGTTGTGAGAGTATGAAAGTATATAGAACAGATGAATAAAAGTCACCGTGGATGATAAGATGAAAGTGTTTGTGACAATGACCTGACTTTGTGTGGATTGATAAAATACTTTTGGGGGTTTTCTGCTTTATATGGATCTTGGTTGTGTAAGAGGGGAGGGAATTGGGGAGTTGGGTGAGGACGAGGGGGGGGGGGGAGGGGGAGGGGCTTGGAGGGGAGTATGAGATATTGTAACAATAAAATTAAACAAGTTCTTCTTGATTGACAACTATGAACGTTTGGGAGAACAAAGGGGGGGGGGGGGGGGGGGGGGGTAGGGCTCGTGTTACGTCGGAAGTAAACGATCCTTTTTGAAATTATTTTTTTCTGTTTTTTGGGGAATTTTTGTGAGCAATTTTGAAATGATTAACAAAAAATCACAGGATGTGCTGCAATGAGAAGCTGATAATGGAAGGTCATTGATATGGGGGAATTTCAAAAATGTGAAAGTTCAATCTATTAGTATCGATCTTAATCTATCGAATCCAGTGGTGGACAACCTTTTTGTGAAATGGAACACTTTGTTGATAAGTCATGACTTAAACCGCAAGAAGCACACGTTTTGGATGATTTCTCGTTTTTTCACCAGTGCCGCGGCACATGGGTTTGCATCACTGATCTAATCTAATTTGAGCATTATTGTTGCCAAAAATTACTTAAAAATTCTTTATTCAATGTTAAAATTACAACATTTTATCCTTTAATCTCTTCTCCATTCCCCTAATTTTCCTGTCAAACTTCCTCAATACTTTCTTACCAAGGACATTGATAGTTCTGCCAAATTCAGTCACATTCTCATTGTCCACTTCCAAATCAACTCCATTCAACTTCTTATTGATTTTAGCCATAAACGCTGAGAATTTATCCTTAAATCTTTCCAATTTTTCGTCAAGCTCCTCAATTTTCTGATCAATTTCATTCGCAGCAGTTCCATTAAAGGCTGTCAATTCTGGCTCGATGTCCTTAACTCGCTGTGGCATGTCTTGAACCTCAACTTGAGCTATTCTTGATTTTATGACATACAAATTTTCAAGGTCGACGAATTTTTTATGATTTGTGAGGTTATGGACGTCCGCAATGAATCTTGGAAAAGTGACCCATTCGGACTTTTTGAAATCTTTTTCTAAGTTGTAAAGTTGATCGGAAAATTGTTTAAAATTTTTAAGTTTGACTGTCTGTAGATCCTTCCGGACTGCCTTAATTGTGTTGTTAAGTCTGAGATAATTTGGATCCTGGCATGAATCCTTAATTTCTATCAAAATTTGCTTAACAGCTGCTGAATCTTGTGCGATATTTGGACTTAGGCATTTATTACTTGTAAATATTAAAGTAGCCAAGGAACCTAATTTATCAAAGACATTAAGATCCATATGAAGGATCTGATTGTACAGGAACGAAACCCAAATCAAACTAGGATTAAATTCAAACAATCCGTCCTCTAAAACCTGAAGATCATTGCCTTCTAAATCAAGGACATAAAGATTTACGAATGGCTTTAAATCTTCCTTATTAATAACCTTCAAGTGACTGTCACGGACTAAAATCAGCTGAAGACTTGAAAATGTATTTTCAAATCCATGCGGGAAGAAATTGACGAGCTTGTGTCGAATGTCGAGAGCATAAACCACACTATTGGTATAGTAATGAGTTGTTGGATAATATCTGTTGTATGGACTTCCCCACCAAACCTGCTGTGTATAGCTCATGTGACTGCCAGTCATGGAATCAACTTTAGCTTCCTCATAAGTTGTGATGCTTAAGTTAGTCTGTACATCACATCTGTAGATAGCACCAGAGTAGTGATATGTGTACTTTTTGTCGAAATTACACTGGATGTCCATGGATAGGACATGATTGATGAGTTGAATGGTGGATATGGTGAAACTGTGGATGAGAATTCATGTTGTATTTATGAAATTCATGTCTGAGCGATTATGAGGTTCAAATTGAGGCTCAGTCTTCAAATTAAGCTACCGTACAACCCGGTTCTGGTGGCTGATCATCACAAACTTGACAATTCATCAACTTGAACCTCAAGCCACCAACAAAAGTAAACTTAAGTTCAACCATAAACTTACAAAATTGTTTTTAACCACATCTTCTAATTAATCCATATCTGGTTGACCTCAAATCACTCAAATCTTTTAAGCAACTGCAAATTATGCTTCCAGCTTCTTCCCTTCAATTTTATTCACAAACTGATTCATCTCATCCGTTATCGTCATCCATTTTATACTAAAATTCTCATTCTTACAAGCTTGTCTCTCTCTTGTCAGTCTCTTATATGCTTTGTTGTATTTTTGTTATGCAAAACGTCGTGTTTAATAAGAATCGTTCATAACAGTTCTAAATTTAAAGACTTGTAAGTTCTAGCTGTACTAACTGAGATGCCGGTTTAAGTTGAGAAAAGCAACCAATTGAGATATTGAACTTTCCCAGATAGCACAGGTTCTAGTAATTGATCAGAAATTTGATGCCAAACTGGCTACACGCTTGAGTCACGCCAGCTTGACACCAAATTTCTGATTGATTAATTGACTTGTTCTTTCTTCACGCTTTGATGAAACTGCCAACCAACAGTAAACACATAAATAAGTCCAATTTTACAGAATGGCACTTCTTTGCATCTACAATTCCCACACATCAATGACCTCACATTATCAGCTTCTTATTGCAGCACATTCTGTGATTTTTTGTTAATCATTTCAAAAATTGCTCACAAAAATTCCCCAAAAAATCAAAAAAAAAATAATTTCAAAAATGATCGTTCATTTCAGACGTAACACGACGTACCCCCCCCCCCCCCTTTGTTCTCCCAAACGTTCATAGTTGTCAATCAAGAAGAACTTGTTTAATTTTTATTGTTACAATATCTCATACTCCCCTCCAAGCCCCCTCCCTCCTCCTCGCTCAACTCCCCCCCCCCCCCCCCCCCCCCCCCCCCTCCTCTTACACAACCAAAAACCATATTAAGCAGAAAACCCCCAAAAGTATTTTATCAATCCACACAAAGTCAGGTCATTGTCACAAACACTTTCATCTTATCATCCACGGTGAGTTTTATTCATCGGTTCTATATACTTTCATACTCTCACAGCTTTCGTCTGTGCCTTATCAAAATAATAAACCCGAATGAGTCAAATTGATGATCGTGAATTGGATCGAATTGAGAAATTTTGGAAGGAACTGAGCAAATGAGTATAAAATGGATGAGAAAATTGGAGGAAGTCAATCAGTTTGGAATTTGATTTTGAAGGAAGAAGGTCAGTGGAATCAAAGTAGACAGAATCACACTTGCTAGGTAGAAGCAACTGATCGAGGAACACACAATCGTGTATGATGGAAATTAAGTTAATATTGTGAGTATTAATAACGTCATGAATTGTAATCTGTGCTGATTTGAGACGACTTGCTTGCTTTTTTTGTGCTGTCTATGTTTGATACCGTCCAGTGTTCTTAGTCTGGATCAGGAATTGAGCATATTGCATCTTGTATTTACTTCGAGATACCTGCAACAAGTCAGTCTTACCTTTTTGCACATCCAGTCACTAATAAAATTTCATTGCTTATCCACAGCCTCACCATATGCATCCTGCAGCTCTTTAATCTATCAACTCAGTCAATAACAATAGATTGTGACTACAACTCAAAATGGACATACCAAATTGTCGGAGCTGTCTACCGCTGTGAAGTTAAGAACAATATCAACATCACAGCTACAGATGAATCAACAATCAGCACTCAAACAGGCACACATGTCTCAGGTTATGCCAATGGAAATGTATATGGCTTTGATATCCGCAATAAGGTTGTGAAGTATTTCCCGCAAGGAATCGAGAAGATCTTTACAGCACTGACTTTAATTCTAATCAACGACGGGCACTTGAAGGAGATCCATCAGAAGGATATCAAGCCATTCACGAGCCTGAAGGTTCTCGACTTACAAGGCAATGACATTGGCATTATTGAGGAAGGAACTTTCGACATGAACACAGCTTTGCAGTACGTCTGGCTGCCGAGGAATAAAATCATGCATGTGGACTTGACTGTCTTTGATAAACTTGCTTCATTGTCCACATTGAGCTTCTATAAGAATAAATGTTTAGACACAGACGCAGCTTATGATGCAGCGACGGTTAAGCAGTTGATTGTTGATATTAAGGCATCGTGCAACAGTGCTGACTACCTCAGCCTTAACACAACATTAAAAGCTCTTCAAAAGGATCTAAAGACATTAAAACTTGACAACTTTGAAGCTTATTCGGAACGTGTTGAGGAACTGGAAACAAAATTCATGAATTCTAAATTTTCATACTTCACGACCTTCGAGGCACGACTTGAGGCACTCAAAAATGATCCAAAATTCACAGAGATTGAAAATTATCACAATTTAAAGAAGCGAATTGATGACTTGGAGACTGAAGACATCGCGGAGAAGCTTAAGGAAATTGAGGCTGAATTAAAGAAGTTCGAAGGCATGACCAGCACAAGACTTGGACAAAAGGTTGAGAATTTTGGGAAGAAGTTGGATAATTTCATTAAAGACACATCAGACAGGATGTCAAAGGTTGAGGAAGCAATGGGAATCACATCAACTGGCAGCTCCGTGGCTACACTAAGTGGAGCTAATGTTAATGCAATCTTGAGTGAATATGAAGGGAAACTGACCAAGAATATTGAGAAGAAGCTTACAGCTTTAGAGAATAAGATTAAAAAGATGATTGCTGATATGTAAATTGAATGTTGGCAGTGACTTTTTTGATGAAATAAAAGTTCTAGCAAGAAATAAGTTTAAAAGGACATTAGGGTGTTTGGTGGAGCTTTTGGGTTGAAAGCTTTACTGAGCTTTTTGGTTGAAAGCTTTACTGAGCTTTTTGGATGAGAGCTTTTCTGAGCTTTCGGATGAAAGCTTTGGTAAGCTTTATGGTTCGAAGCTTCATTAAGCTTAAATTCAAAAGCTTCATCAGATCCTACGTACATAAGCTCAACTTAATTTATCCTTATAAAGCATAAAGCTTTGAAATTTAAAAAAAACTCCAAGGGGAAAACAACATGATGGGCAAAAGTTTAAATGAAAATTCAAAACAATTTCCCACTCATTTTCAATCCAAATTTAAGTAAAAAATCAAAAATCAATAACAAATTCAGCACAACTGTTGCAAATCGATGCAAAGTTTCCATCAAAATTTTTTCCCACCATGTTGTTCTCCCCTTAGAAAAAATAATCAATATCAAAAATATCATTTTTATCCCAATTTATTATTCAAAATCTTTCACAAATCATTTAAATTTCTATTCAAGCAACAATGACTCATACGGAATCAAATCCAGCACCTTATTCATCTCTTCTTTAATAATTTTCGCATAACTTCTCTCAATGTAAGGATAAAGGATAGGAATGGCAATATCATGAACTTTATGTCCACTTTCTAAAGCAATAAACTTCTTATCAGAACTCAATGAGATATCCAAGATATTCAAGAACTCAATTCCATTCTTCCTAATCTTTTGAAATTCAAAATGTAGAAAAGCTTTCGTGTTCCTGTATCGTGACTTAAATGATCCATTAAAATTAACACCGAGAAGATTTATTGAGCCTGAATAGTCGCCTGTGTCTGAGATTTTTGGAAATAACATCGTAAGATCAGCTGTTAATGTCTGAGGATTGATGCTGTACTTCTCAACTTTGTAGTTCGAAAGGCCAAGCACTGTCATATTTCTGGTTATGATTTGGAATACTTGACCGGTTCCAAAAACGTGACTGAGGGATAAATGAAAGAGAAAATCAAAAATTTTAAATTTCACAGGAGTAATTTTTAAGGTTCAGGTGCATTCGCATGACCGTTTTGAGATTCAGAAGCCATCACACTAAATCTTTGTGATTCAGGTGTCTTCACATGCGAGTGTTGAGGTAAAGTCGACTTCACACTAAGGTTTTATGATTCAGGTGTCTTCACATGCGTGTGTTGCGGTTAGGCAGCCTTCACACTAAAGCTTTGTGATTCAGGTGACTTCACATGGAAGTTTTAAGGTTAAGTCGCCTTCACACTAAAGCTTTGTGATTCAGGTGTCTTCACATGCGAGTGTTGAGGTAAAGTCGCCTTTACACTAAGGTTTTATGATTCAGGTGTCTTCACATGCGAGTGTTGAGGTAAAGTCGACTTCACACTAAGGTTTTATGATTCAGGTGTCTTCACATGCGAGTGTTGAGGTAAAGTCGCCTTTACACTAAGGTTTTATGATTCAGGTGTCTTCACATGCGAGTGTTGACGTAAGGCAGCCTTCACACTAAAGCTTTGTGATTCAGGTGACTTCACATGGAACTTTACACTAGGATTTTTGTAATTCAGGTGCATATACTTCAGCTTTTTGAGGGTCAGGTGCCTTCACACTAGAGTCGACCATAATATTAACAATAAATACTTACTTCTGCAGAATAAATGGATCCAGTGGACGGATTTGTAGCTCAGGAAACCAGTTTCCAGTTGCAAATTCGTATTTGACATTTTCGAATGCATTGATTAAGCAGTTTTCAAGGTTAGGGTCAGACCGTCGACACGGTGCATTGTATTGAATGACTAAGGATTAATTGAAAAGTAATGAAATCGATTATAATTGACACGGGAATGGTTAAGTGCAATAATCGAAGCTGCGTGATGATATTTGGATTCTTTATTGCAATTAAATATTAATTAAGCTGTAAGCTTAATTTTTGTAGGAATAAGTGCAGCAATTAAACTTAATTAAATAAATTAACTCACGATTTTGAGATGACGCAAAGTCAAAGATTATTGATGAAATTATTAGAATTATTTTCATGATTTTAATTGAAATTTTTAAACAAAATCTTCAACTTTTCTCAATTTTTTAACCAAAAGTTTTCACAAAAAAGTCAATCAATTCTCCTCGCAGTTGTCAAAAGAACCCCAAAATTTCACTATTATTGGCTTAGTAGACCAAATTTTTAAGCACAACAGACTCCGACAAGCGGCAACTATAAACTAAAAGGCTGCATGCATGCAATTACATTTACCTTTATGTAATCTTGAAATTATTTTATGGGTCAATGCAACTTGAATGCTGTCTTCGGTTCCAGTGGCGTTGCTCAATTTATTTTTTGGATATTCGAGTGGTTTGATACTTTATTTTGTGGAAGCTACAGTCAACACCTCCTAGTTCTGCCACTGTACACATATCTTCTTATTCCTTTACATCCAATGCTCTGTGCGTGGTCTTAATGAATCAGAAAATGTAAGTGAAATTAAATAATATTTCGCATCTTCGTCACAGTCAAGTCTTATCGATCATCTGTGGATGTAAAATTTTTACAATTTATTAATTGCATGTTATCGAAACGAATTAATTCTAAAAACTAGGAACAAGTTATTAGTGAGTGGCCTTCAACATTTTCTGACATATTTATTACTCAATATTTCATTCCTTTTGTTATTAAGTCTGGCTTATGTCTTGTAATGCATTTATTGATGGCATTAAATTAAGATTTATTGACTTGAGATGAATTGTGGTTTTTGGTTCTTGGTTCTTGGTTCTTGGTTTTTGGTTTTTGGTTCTTGGTTCATGGTTCTTGGTTGTTGGTTGTTGGTTGTTGGTTCTTGGTTCTTGGTTCATGGTTCTTGGTTCTTGGTTCTTGGTTCTTGGTTCTTGTTTCTTTGTTTTTTGGCTGGTTCTTGGTTCTTGGTTCTTGGTTTTTGGTTTTTGGTTCTTGGTTCTTGGTTCATGGTTCTTGGTTCTTGGTTCTTGGTTCTTGGTTCTTTGTTTTTTGGCTGGTTCTTGGTTCTTGGTTCTTGGTTTTTGGTTCTGGGTTCTTGGTTCTTGGTTCTTGAGCTGGTTCTTGAATCTTGGTTCTTGGTTCATGTTTCTTGGTTCTTGGTTCATGGTTCATGGTTCTTAGTTGTTGGTTCTTGGTTTTTGGTTCTTGGTTCATGGTTCTTGGTTCTTGGTTCTTGGTTCTTGGTTCTTGGTTCTTGGTTCTTGGTTCTTTGTTCTTGAGCTGGTTCTTGAATCTTGGTTCTTGGTTCATGTTTCTTGGTTCTTGGTTCATGGTTCATGGTTCTTGGTTGTTGGTTCTTGGTTTTTGGTTCTTGGTTCATGGTTCTTGGTTCTTGGTTCTTGGTTCTTGGTTCTTGGTTCCTGGTTCCTGGTTTTTGGCTCTTGGTTCTGAAATCATGGTTTTTAATCCTCAAATCTAAGTTTATGGTTCTCAAACTTTTGTTGTAATTAAAATAAGTCGCACTTATGCATTTTCAAAGCTCCTGAAAGATAAAGCTGAAAACTTTAAACATAAAAAAGTAAAATAGCTAAATTAAAAACACAAAACCTAATGTTTTTTTTGAATAAATTTTTTGATGTTTTATTAAATTTTTTTAAAACTTTTTCAATATTTTTCATCAAGTTAATTAAAAATTTGTATTTGTTGTTGTTTCATAAATTTTTTTGTTGTTGTTTTTGTGAAAAAGACAAATTTTTTTTCTTCTCAATCGTATTTTTTTTTTCAAGAAATTATTATGTGTGTAGTTTTTTATTATTTTTTGTAAGAAATGAACAAAAAAAACGAATGAAAGAGAACACAAAAGAGACGCGGGAGGAGGCTAATAAAAATAATTATTAATTATTAAAAAAAGGAGGCTGATGAAGTTTTAAAGTGAAAAATCAAAAAAATTCAAAAATCTCTCTGAGAACTTTTCATAATTTTTTTTTCCATTCCGCGAAAAGTTTATTTTTGTTTTCGGCATTCTGTTTAGCTGAGTGACGGGAAGTCACGTTCATCGTCGACCTTTGGCGCATGTTGGCCTTCATTGGTGCCTCGTTGGAAGCGCTGTCTACGTTGTCGTCGTTGACCATCATCACGATCACGATCACGATCACCACGAATTGGTCCACCAGTCTGTGTTGGTGGTGGTCCAGCAACAGCAGCAGCAATACTTCCACCAGTTGGAGCTGGTCGATTTTCACCAATAGGACCGCCATTATTTTCAGCACCACCAACATTCTCACGTGGTGGACGACGACCACGATTTGGTTTTCCTGGTCCACCCCCAACACCTGCGCCTGGTCCACGTCTACCAAGTCCTCCACGTCGTCCATCATTGAAGTGGAATTCAATATCTAAAACTTGCTTCTTCTTGCCTTCATCCTTTTTGCCATCATCCTTCTTTAATGCAGTCGATTCTTCAGTTTTCTTGTCCAATTTCTTCATGTTATCCCATTTTGGATCGTCTTCACCTTCTCCAGCTTTTCGGATGTTATATTGTGGTTGAAGCAATTGAGCTCGTCTCTGTGCCTTGTATTCGTCCAATGTCATTTCCTTTGGCTCCTAAAATTAAAAACAATTTTTAGGTTAGCATATTTTTTTGTAGGTTATGTTTAATATTTTTGAGGTTAGAATCTGGATTTTGCTGTTATGCTTAAGAGTTTGAGGTTAGAATCAAGATTTTTAACCTAGGTAAGGGAATTTTGAGGTTATGTTTGGGATTTAGAGGTTATGTCAGTGAAATTTGAGGTTAAGTCAAATTTTAAAGCATGTTTGAATATTTTGAGGTTATTCTCACGATTTTGAGGTTAGGGAAAATTATTTCAAGGTTATTATCAACCATTACTCTGAATGCTTACCTCTGGTGCCGCTGGTTCCTCAACAACTTCCTCTCCCTCCTTTTCACCACTCGTATCCTCGCCATCTGTCACTGGTTTATTCATATCATCAATATCCGTCTTATGTGTTCCCCAATTATGAGCACCGCCACCATCACGCTTATCGACAGACTTAACACCCGTCTTGTCACTTCCCGATTGCCTATCGCGTCGTTTTCCATCAAAGTTTCGTCGTTGCCTATTGATATTATTATTATTGTTGCGTGATTTATCCGTTTGATTTTGTTGTTGTCCCTCAGTTCCATTTGCTACTTGTCCATTAAGTTCACGGTTTTTGCGATTATTGCGTTCTTCGCGATTCTCTCCGGCTGGTCTCTGAGCAAAATTTGGACGTGGTTGTCCGTTTTGGGTGATTTGTTTGTTATCTACAATTAGAAAATGGGTTTAAAATTTAAGTTAGAAATTATATTTTGAGGTTATGTTTTTTTTTGGGATTTTTTAAAATGGTTTTTCACAATTTAAAAGGTTAATTTCAGAGGGATTAACTTTTATCTTTGGTATGCAACCTTGCATATTGTTCAAAACCCAATCCATGATTTTAAACATTTCAATCTTTGTTGCTACAACTAATCCTAGTAAGAATCTCATTAGTAGAGTCAATTTGAAGTCATTCTTAAAAAATACCGATCAAATATGCCTCAAATTCAACTTTTCAAGCCCTAACATCTCAAATTGTATTGCACATCCTTGACCTGACCCCCAATAACACCAACCTTAACCTTTTACACCTTCAACCAAGGATTAGTTCCTCATCCCTCCCCAATATAGTTCTTTAAACATTTTATTTGCAAAACTAGACAAAAAAAAACCAAATTCAATTCACATTTTTCATCTCTTGCGTAAATAAAGAAGCAGAAGAAGAACTGAATGAAAAAAAGAGCTAAGCAGTGATAAAAATATTCAAAAATGATTCACACAAGCGGCTGTGTTTTCTCAAATAAAATAAAGTTTTATTTTCCAGTCGTCTTTTTTTATTGATTTTTTTTTCTAGTTTATTTGTTCGACTTTTTGATGAGTTTTTGAATGATGTGTGATATTTGGTGGACTAATGAGGATTGTAAAAGGGTTGGGCGTTGTGGCCTTTGAGCAGGGGGATAACTGCTTGATGGAAAAATGTTGTCAATAGAAATTTTTCATGGATTTCCATTTCAATACCAAAAATAATGATGGAAAATTTCCACTGCAAACAAATTTTTTCATCAAGTTGTTTACCCCCTGATTCTGAAATTTGTGAGCTATTTTGATAAAAATTTTAGATTAGAGGGGTTCTTGGCTTAGAAAGGTCACAAAACAGTAGCATCAGATTGAATAAGATTGGCGCTAAGCTTATCTATGGCTTTAAATTCGCAGATCTTCAAGACATTATGCCATTTAGAGCAGTTTCTTCCTAAAATGATGATCAACTGGCAAAAAGTGAAATGTTAAGAGTGTCAATAATGAACAGAAGCTTGGAAGCCACTGGGATGTCTGGTGGTTCGAGGAGCATCTCTATTAGAATGCGTTTATCAGACATTCTGATTCCATTTTGAAGATTCTCTTGATTTCAAGGTTAATAAGTAAACCTTCATTACGTTTGGACACTTCAGTGCCTTCAGCTTCTTATCCCCCCAAAAATTAAGATTCAAATAACCAAAAATAAATCCAATTAATTCAATGCCTACATTTTAAAGTCCCAATAACACAGCACGCACGAAAAAATCAAGAATTTTTTGAATTTTCATTTATTTTTTTGTAGGCGTAATCGCTAATTAGGAGCACTGATATGATAACAGAAAAGCAAACAATATTGAGTAACTGTTGGTCGAGTATGCTTTGGTCATTTAAGTTTAAATTTTTTGTGAGTGCATTTCCCTTACAAACGATGCGCTTATTGCTTTTACTTTGGTTGGTTTGTTGCTGCTTCAAAAACTCGGAATTGAAAGTGTTTAGAGACTTCTAGTTTAGAGTAAAACAGTTGTGAGGAGCAGTAAAGATGACATTCAAGTAAATTTTAATGATTTTGATCTTAATTATGATGATTAAGTAGGAGGAACTAAACCTTGATTTAATCTATTTAGCAATCAGCTTGAATATTAAGATTTTGAGCAATTAAAGACTTAATTGAATTTAAAGAAGCTTATGAAGCACAAAATAGTAACATTGAGATCATTCTTTGTTTCTTATTAATACAAATTCTTAATATTGAATTAACCAATAATTTTGAAGGTTAAGTCAGTATTCTAAGCATTAAGAAGGCAAGCTATCAATGAATTAGTTAATCAACCATTTGTATTCGTAATTGGTTTCCTTTTAATTGACAATTAACATCCTAGACACCTGACAGCATGTTCTGAACTGAATTCTATACAAATTTTAACACCGAATGGCTTTGCGACGTCTAAAACATCAAAGCTGTGCTTTATCAAGTAATTAGCAGGGTTGGCATTGAAACAAAACTCAAGAATTGCTTAAAAACCAGCCATAAAGCAAAACCATTCATCCAAATTCAAAATCTCTACCATTTTTAATAAATGTTTCAAACAACTATCCAAAAAAGTATGAATTTCACATTCTAGACAGTCTGACCCACAAATATTGATCAACTGATTAGCCCACTTAAGATTTTTTTTTCATACTTTTATTTATTCTTCGATTTGCTCAAATTTATTACATTTTATCATGCAACATTTTTGCTTTCCAAAACAAAAAATCCAATAAATTATTCGTTTTTCAATTTATTCCCTGCAAGTGGTTCAATTTTGATATGTGCAGTGATTGATTTGCCAATGAAATAGAGCAAAATATAGCAAATTTAACTTCAAAATTCAGGAACATAACCTAAAAAATCAGCAACATAACCTCAAAATTTAGAAATCTAACCTCAAAACTTAGCAACAAAGTCTCAAAACTCAGCAACATAATCTCAAAATTCAGAAACCTAACCTCAAAACTCAGCAACATAACCTCAAAATTCAAAAGCCAAGCCTTAAAATTAGAAAAAATATCTTCAACATTAGGCAACATAACCCCAAAATTTGACAACTTAACCTTAAAATTCAGCAAAGTAATTTTAAAACTCTGAAAAAAACCTCAAAATGTAGCAACATAACCTCAAAATTTAGAAACCTAGCCTCAAAACTTAGCAACCTAACCTCAAACCTAGTAAGCCTTTTCTCAAAATTCAGCAACTTAACCTTAAAAAAATCAGTTTTCCAAAAATTAACCTCAAATTTTTGAAATCTAACCTCAAAATTAATCAGCATAACCTCAAAAATTGACAAAATAAAGTCCCCTAACCTAGTAGCTCATATAAATTGACCAAAACACATCTTAAATCTAATCCAATCAAATCTACAATAATCCCCCCTATCAAAGTACCTCCAATCTCCAATACCCGCACGTGCTTATTACCCGACTTATTCACAACACATTCTCTACCTCCACATTCAATTTCATTCAACATAAATATTTCTTCTTTTATTCATCTCCTCCTCACTCGAACACATTTTTTCTGTATTTTTATTTTTATCATCAACTGAAATGGAAATGCGAAAGATGATCGTTGAGCAGAACAGAACGGAAGAAGAAGAAGTAACCAAGAAAGAAGGAAAAAAATTGAACTCTTAAGTCTGAATGTGTGCTGTCGAGATGTGCGTATGTGAGAACATACATAATACATAGATAGAAAAAAATTGTAATTGAATAAAGTAAAAATTATGTCACACAAGCCGTGTAGCTAAGTGGCTCAATGCATGAGATCGAAAAACGAAAGGAAAAGTTGCGGAATCGACACACAATGTAGGACTTTTTGGTTTATTCTTATTGTTCTTATGGCTGTAAATTGAGTTTATTATTGTTAAAATGGAGTTGAAGTGGGCATTGTTGGTGGTTGTGTGGATGTGTTTTGGGTATTTTTGAGGTTATGTTATTGTTATGTTGGTGATTTTAAGCCGGTTTATGCTATAATGTTTATTGTGTTGGATGTGTGCTTGATTTTAAGGTTATGTTGCTTCAGTTGACTATTTTGACAATTTCGAGGTTAAATTAGATCATTTTAGATTCTTTGAGGTTAGGTTGGTTCATATGGACTATATTAAGATTAGTTTCAATCATTTTAACAATTTTGAGGTTATGTTGAATCTTTTTGGCTAGTTTGGGTTAGATCATTTGACTATTTTATGGTTAGATTAGAATAACTTGACTGTTTTGAGGTTAGATTGGATTTTTTTAATAATTGTGAGGTTAGGTCGAATTTGCTTGAATGTTTTAAAGGTTATGTTGATCTATTTTGATTATTTTGAGGTTATGTTGAATCATCTGAACTATTTAGAGATTAGATTAAATTAGCTTAACTCTTTGTTGGTTAGGTTGGGTCATTTTAACAATTTTGAAGTAAGGTTGAATCAGTTTGTCTGTTTTGAGGTTATGTTGATCTATTTTGACTATTTTTAGGTTATGTTAAATCATTTGAACTATTTAGAGGTTAGGTTGGATTAGCTTGACTGTTTGTAGGTTAGGTTGAGTCATTTTAACAGTTTTGAGGTTATGTTTAATTAGCTTGACTGTTTTGAGGTTAAGCTGAATCAATCTAGGATATTTTTAGGTTAGATTAGATCATTTTGAAAGCTTTGAGGTTAGGTTGGATCATATTGATTAGTTTGAGGTTAGATTTGCAAACATAAACATAAGAATTCACCAAAAATCAGACCATAACCTCAAAAATAAAAATCCTCACAAAAAACCACGTGAAGTAAGTTTTTTCTCAATATTTATTTTTGTATTTCCTTAGAAAAAAAATCTCAATTATTCTTACATCTTTCGCCAAGTCTTTACTTTCTTCATCTTCAAAGACACAAAAATTAACGTATTTGTGAACTTCCTCACATTCTTACTGAAGAACAAAAAAACAATGAAATGAAAAGTACTTTTTTTTTCTCTTTCATTTTCTTTTGTTGTGGTTCGCATTTGAATCAATTCGTACGAAGTAGTTGGTGTGGCTTCATCTGAACTTTTGGTAATTTAATGGCATTGGGTCAGAATTGTCTTTGAAAATTGGCTTGTGTTTTGGAAAATTTGGATTATTTTGGGTGCTATCGTGGATTTTAATGGGTTTGGGTGTGGATGTAAGCACATGTGAGATGCGAAGTTTAGTTGCTGAGTGGAATTAAACTGTGAATTTTGATGCTGTGACTGAATTACTTGGAAAATTACTATGATAAGCAATGAATTGTGTCAAAATAATATCAATTCCAGCCTAACAACAGCACAAAAAGTTAGATTACTCATTTTCACATCAATTTTGACTCTTCTTGCTTAAATTTTTTTTTGTCATAATAAACATTAAATGTCAATGCTTGTGGATGCTACTCAGAAGAAGAAGAAGAATGATGATGAAGACATAAATGGAAATATTCATAACTAATTGGTTGGATGTAATCAGTTGGGTGGTTTTTGAGTTGATTAATTCATTGAGGATTAAGGAGAGGATTGTGGGTTGGTTAATAGAAGCTCGGAAATTGCTCGATAACACTCCAAATGCCTCATTTAAGGATATCCTAGCCCAGTGATGGTCAACTTATGTGCCACGGTACACCAGTGAAGCCCAAGAACCGTTTGCCGAGTCCAGTTTCGGTCATTGCTTACAACTAAGGTTTGACATGACACAAAAAAAAGGTTGTCCATCCCTGGACTAGCTTTAAAAGTCACACTTACTATGACTAAGAACAAGAGTGTTTAGAGCTTGTACGTGTTTAAAATTCAAATGAATCTTGGAGGTCTAAATTGGATGTTGCAATGGGTTACATCCAATTACTTCAAATCCTACAACAATCCTAATCATAAACTCACAAAATCATCATATTTATCGCCCCAACAATCATTCAACTTTTAAAATCCACTCACTCAAAACAAACAAAACGAGTTAATTTTGTTGATAAGGGGTCGTTCACTTATGATGTCCAAAACTAGCGGTCATTTTTCAAAAATTCCATTTTCCAATTTCCATTAATTTCTATTGTTCTTAACTTGTTGACCTCCCCTCTTCCTGGACGTCATAAGTGGATGCTCCCTAACAAGAAAATCGCATCAATGACTTCGTTGGAATGCAAAACAATAACACAAAATTTACCCCAATAAAAAAATAATAATATTAAAGACGTAATAAAAAATATATTTCAAGCTAATTAAAAGTCATTCACGATAGACGGACAACTTAAAATGAATGAAATGTCACGATTAAGATTTTTTTAATGGGAATTGTAAAAAAAATGTTGTTTTGTGGTTTTTTGATAAGGAGGCTTGGGGATGCTGAATGTGAATTGGTTGGAATTGAATGATTTTTCTAGAAAGATTGTGGAAATATGGAGGAAAAATTGAACCTTGACCTTCAAAACCTTGAAGAAATTTGAATGAATTTTTTTGATTTTTTTGAATTTTGGGGGGGAATTTGAGAATTTTGTCAAGATTTTTTTGAAAAGTTGTTAAAGATTTGGGAGGAATTTGACTAAAATTGAGCTTAAATTCACTCAATCTCACTCAAAACTATAGATTTTACCTCGAATTTTGGCAAATATCAATCAAATCTACTTCATTTTGTCAACATAACCTCCAAAATCTGGGGTATAGAATACAGGAACGCTTAGTAGACTGAAGGTTCATACTTAGTCCGTACAATTCACTTAATGGGCACCTAAGTTTACATTATGGCTCCCCAATCCCGTCATAGCTCTTGAATCTGGTTCATTACCCCCAAATCCACATCTTAGCCCCCAAAACCATATTATAGACCCTTAAATTTGGATCCTAAACCCCGAATCCCCATTATAGCCCCTAAATCTGGTTCATTGACACTAAATCTGCATCAAATCCCCCAAAACCACATTATAACCCCTTAAATTTGGATCCTAAAACTCGAATCCGCATTATAGCCCTCCAATCTATATCATAGCCTCAAAACCTGGTTCACAGCCCCCAAATCCACATCTTAGCCCTTCAATCCACAGCATAGCAACTAAATCTTCATCACAAAACCCGATTCTACATCAAATACTCCATCAAGTCCACATCATAGCCCTCATTAAGCCACTATAACCTCCAAAACTCCATCAATCCCATCAATTCCACCACTCATCAATCCATAACCCCCATCAAACTCAACCATAATCAACCACACAACATAAACAATTAATAAATGCTAAAATATTCAGCATAAAAAGAAGTTTCTTCTCAGAACCTCAAAAAAAAGTAAGATTCAGGCACAAGAAAAAGGTTGAAAGAATATTTTTTTAGGTAACAAAAAAAATTAAAAAATATAATTTAATGTACCAGAACCCATGGACATGTGTAAAAGTGGAGCATAGCTGTGTGCGTAAAATCGCACATTTTGTCATAAAAATACAAGCATGTGATCCAAGAATTGAGGGAAAAAAATTGATTTATTTGTAGATATGTAGGCACACGGCTCGTATGGTCGTGAATTGAGGAAGAAAAAGATGGAAAAATTTGTTTGTATTTGTGAAAGTTGCATTTGTGTTAGTGAAAAATTGAGGCTGTGTTGGTGTGCGGCGGCGCAAAATCCAACAAATTCGCACGCACACACCCGACAATTTTTATTTTAATTTCAATTTTCGTATAAAAGTTGAAAATTTTGAATTTTTGAACAGAAAATTTAAAATTCAAAAAATATTTTTAAAAACATCCCAAAAGTCAAACATCCAGCACAGCTCATGACAAAGAGATTGAAAAAAAATTTTAAACATGAGAAAAAAAAGAATCTCACAACCACAGCTGCAAAGACATCCACACAAAGATATTTTTTTCTGCGGCTCGAAAAGCACATTTTTTGTGAAAATTTTTCAAAAAAAATCCCAAATTAGGCGACAAAATCATCATCCATCGACTCACCATTATCCTTTTTGGCAATGCCGGTATTATTTTGTTCCTTAATTCCGCGTCTTTGATCCTTTCGTGCATCTTGTGGTTGTGCCTTCTGCGTCGTCAATTGCTGCTGCTGTTTTTCTTGTCCCTTTGGTTGTACCTTATTCTCCTTTGATTCCGATGATTTTCTTGGTGCTGCCGGTGCCGTCACGGGTACAGCTGGTGTCGTTGGTCCACCAACAACAGCGACTGCCTTATCCTTCTTCTTCTTCGTCACAACCGTCTCGAATTCAGTCACATCGTCCTGATCGTAGAATAATTCATAGCGATTTGCTATGCCAATGCCATATGAGTTCTCCATCGTCGTTCTGTGAATTAGCCGTACGATGGACTTCCTTTAATATTGAGCTATGCTTTTCGGTTAATTTTTTAACTGCAGGTTAAGTTCAACAAAAAAAAAAATTCACTAATTTTTTTTTTTAACTTTTAAAACACCCGAAAAATATTTCTTCTTCCAATCGTCGCGATTGAGAAGTCAGACTGATTTGATATTCTCTCTTTTTGCACTAACAAATGGCCGAACTCTCTCTCAATTCTTTTTTTTTTTACTCTCCCCCTTTTTGAGATTTTTTTTTTGTATTTATTTACAGACTTTATTTTTTTTTTGTTTCTTTGTGTTTGTCTCTCTTTAGACTTTATAAGCTTGACTGAGTGACTCGTGAATGTGTGTTGTATGTTCAAACGCGAATAACGAACTGAGAATTTTAATTTTATTTCACTTTTCTTTGCTCACGTTCTGAGTGTGAAGCTGTTCGGATTAAATGGAGATTTGGTATTGATAAAGCATGTGCTTGAGGTTCTTTGTTGATTGATGGGATCAACGGTAGGTGGCGTGGATATTTGAATTACTTAAGGCAGTTGATGATTAGTTTTTGAAGATTTGGGAAACTTTGCAGCATTATGTTGATTATGTTGTACTTAAACTTGTCAAAGGATTTGAAGAGGGGGGGGGGGGGGGGGTAGAAAAAAAATTAAATGGACAATTCAGAGGGAAAGGGGGGGGATTATTATGATTTTTTCATAAAACTCCTAGCAAAAAGAAGAAATTTCTGTTAACGTCGGGGGATGTGTCCCCTAAATCCCCCCTTTCCCCCCCCCCTTCTCTCCTGGTGTCGCGTCTAAATGCAGCTTAGGGGTCACTTATGACGTCCGAAATTAACGGTCATTTTTTAAAAAAACAATATATTTCCAGGAATTTCTATTATTCTTTTCTTCCTGAACCCCCAATTTGGACGTCATAAGTGAACGGCCCCTTAGATACTTATTGAGTATTGATTGTTGTTAGAACTGCAACAAGCCTTCGCTTCTGTAGCTGATTTCTAGTGCTGCATGGTTTTAGGTCTCCTATCCTGGTCACAGTCAAATGTTGTTTATATCCTAGAACAGTGATGGTCAACCCATGTGCCGCGGCACACTTGAAAATTCGAGAAATTCCACGAACCCTGTGCTACGTTCGCTTTTGGTTAAGGTTTTTCCATATTGTGTGCCGTGTCACAAAAAAGGTTGTCCACCACTGCCTTAGAGTAAACTAAAATAGTCTTTAGATTCAAGATTCCCTGGATAGCCAGTAAAGTACAATAAAGTGTTGAACTTAGTATGATTTATCCCACACATCTCTCTGGCTTTGTGACTGAGCGTAGCCAGCTGAAGATGCTTCGTAACGGAATAGTATAGTACTGGATATGAGACTTGCTTATTCTGTTCATTTTATTGAATTCCTTTAAACGCTACAGACTTTATTGTCACCAAAGGATAGGTTCAAATCCTACTGTTAATTCTTAATCTAGGTTGCGTGCATTGGTTGAGCGCATCCTTAGTCGTTAAACTCTCAGTAACCGCAAATTACCCTAGCGTAGCCCTGGATCACAATTAAACTGAATAGCTAAAGGTTTTTTTACTCACCTGAGCCTGATTAGGAAGACCAATCCCCTCATCTGAGCATACAAATGTCCTTTTTAATCGACCTCAAAAAAATCTTTTTTCGGTCCCACAAATCGTCTGAAAAACTCCTTAAAAAGTGAAATGAATTTAAGAAAATATTTGAGAGAGAGCGCGCAAAAAATTTTCTTTTTTTCAGTAGACAATTGAATTTTCATCCAGCCGCAGTTCCTCTGCATTAATTTGATAAAAACATTTTCTTTTATTGATTTGTAGACGCGTAAAATGTCAAAAATGACGAAAAACTATTTAATTTTTGCAATTTTTGTTGTATTTTTATGTCAATTTGGTGAGTTTTTGTGTTTTTGTTGTGAAAAGTTGAAATGAAAATTTTGCGCAGCGGTGGCAAAAAATTGAACCATTTTTTTATGTTTACAAATTTACCGCTTCAAGGTCAAGTCACATTTATGATAATTTTATCGAATCAATTTAATTTGCGTTGACTAAAGTCGATTTTATGTAAATTCATGAATACTAGAAGTTGTTGTCGTCAAGCATGACAAGTGAAATTAATTTTTTTCAATGGATTTTCCAGCTTATTCTCTCAGTTGTTATCATTGCAATTCAAATTTAGATGAAGGATGTGATGAAATGCAACCACCGATTCAAATTATGGTAAGCTAGTTTGTTTGTCTGTTCGTCCAGCTGTTTTCTTTTAGATTGTCTTTCTGGCTGTCCTTTAGATTTTCTTCTTCCTTCTAGAATTCATAATTGTCTAATTTATCCAGTTTTTATTCTCACTTAACTAGGAATGCAAATTCAACGAGACAACAAGAAGAAATCACCAAAAGTTGGCGAGAGCTTTAAAAGTTCCAATTGCTTGTTAGTATTTAGATGCAAATTTGATGTTTTTTAACGAAATTAATTTTAATTAAAACTTTTTCCAGCTGAATCCACAATGTACTGCTTGAGAGTCTTTCTAAATGATAGTAAGTATGACAAATTTAAAAAAAAATTTAGTGTAAATGCACCTGAACTTCCGCACTCTAGTGTGAAGACACTCGAACCTCAAAACTCTAGTTTTTTGACATCTGAACCTTGAAACCTTAGTGTGAAGGCACCTGAACCTCAAATCTCTAGTGTGAACGAACCTTAACCTCAAAACTCTAGTATGATGGCACCTGAACCTTGCAACTCTAGTCTGTAGGCACCTGAAACTCAAATCCCAAGTGTGAAGACATCTATCTGAACCTCAAAACTGTAATGTGAAGACACCTAAAGCTTGCAACTCTAGTGTGACGACACCTGAACCAAAAACTTCTAGTATGAACAAACCTTAACCTCAAAACTCTAGTATGATGGCACCTGAACCTTAAAACTCTAGTGTGAAGGCTCATGAACCTTAAATATCTAGTGTGAAGACACCAGAACCTTGCAATTCTAGTGTGAAGGCAACTGAATCTTAAAACTCTAGTGTAAAGACAAGGGCTCGTTCACTTATTACGTAACGCAAAAAAACGAGTTTTTAGACCCCCACCCTCCCCCTGTAACAAACCGTAACAAAATCTTAAGCCCCCCTTCCCCCCCTAGTGCGTTACGTAATAAGTGAACGAACCCCAACTGAACCGCAACACTGTAATGTGAAGACTCCTGAACCTAGCAACTTTTATGTTATGGCACTTGAACCCCAAAACTTTAATGTGAAGACGCTTAAATCTAGCAACCCTTGTGTGAAGAGACCTGAACCTCAAAAACTAATTTGTAAAGGCACCATAACCTTAAAATATCAATTTTCTTTCCAAATTTCAGAACATGGTGACAAACAGTCCTACCGAGAATGCTACGAAGACTATAAAGTATATCCACCATGTGATATGGTCACAAAGTCACTGACATCTGAAAATGATCACATCAGAGTTGATGATTGTGAAGTTTGTGAGCGAAATTTGTGCAATGGAGACAAGCTGTTGTCTGAATATGGAATCAGTGGAACTTTAAAGATGTTTTTTGATATTCGATTGGTTTTTATTTTGTTAAATGTAATTTTTTTGAATTTTTAAGACAATTTTGAATGTTTTTTCTAGTACAAAAATGAAATTTTGTGATTAAAAAAGCTTTTTTGGCTTGAATTTTGAAGCAATGACGATTTTTTCATAATTAAGATTTTTAATATTTAAATATTTAAGTAAAATAAACTTTTAATCAACAAATAAAAGCCGTTAAATTTTGAAATTTATAAAATTAAGCAATAAAAGCAATAAAATTATTTAACTTGAAATTATTTGAATTTATTTCTGAATTTTAAATTAAAAATTTATGTTCCAATGATTTTAAATGGAAGTGGACGTATGCCCTCGTCAGGTCAGGGAACGAGCTTAAACTGTGGAATTTCCAAACAATTGACTCAAAATTTTGAAAATTTCATCAACTTTTGCAACCGTTTCACTTAATTGCAAAATATTTTCGTTAAAATTTGTGATATTTTGGGTCAGATTTGTGAACTTTTCGTCTAAAATCGCAAAACTTCCTATCAAATTATTCAAATTGACATTAGTGTCGTCAACTTTTGATTCCAATGCTGTACATGTCACATATTTGATAGGTTCTGTCGTTGTTGTTGCCATTGTTGTTGTTGTTGTGGTTGCTGAGGCTTCCTCGATTGCCTTTTTGACTTGAAGAGCTCTCAAATCTTGAATTCGACGTGCAAAAGTATTTGAAAATTTAGAAACTTTGACTTCATTCTCCAAAATGTCAAGTTTATCCTTCAAAGCTACAGAAGTTAAATTTGCTGATTCAATTTCAAGGTTTTTAACTTTAAGCTCTAATGCTGAATATTCTGCAGAGGTGCATCGAGTTTTTGTTGCTTCAATGAGATTTTTGACTTCTACTTTATTATTCGATATGCCCGAGTCGATACAAAGATTAACATTAAGCAGCAAGGTATTCAGATTTGTCAGCTTAGCAAAAACATTTAAATCGACGTACGAAATTTTATTAAATTGTATATTAAGTTCTTCCAAGAGTGGATTGAAGTCAAATAAACCACTTTCCAATACTTCCAATGAATTTAATTGAATTGAAAGACTAAAAAGTCTGGGAAAGTCTCTCAAGTCACTCTGACAGGATTTCCTTAAGTCCTGTGCTGATAATTGCAATTGATCTGAGGTTCACAAAAGTTCTATTCATTCCACGTGGAAAATAAGGAAGTGGTTTAAATCGAATTGTAAAGTCTGCAACATTGTTATTAATATAGCCAGCAAGATGTGTTCCTACAAATGTATCATTGGTTCCTGTATCATTTGTGGTTGAGCTGACAACACTTTGGACTTCACATCGATAAACGTTGCCTACATTAGTCCACAGAGAGTTTACGAATTGACAGTTATAAGTATCAGCATGTGATGTAGCTATAAGACCTGTGGCGATGCTGATAAAGGCACTTGTGGAAGGTTATAAAGAAAGAAAAAATAGAAATTGAATGAAAATTTAATAAAAATTTGAGAAATCAACCAAGAACCAAGCGTCAAAAACCAAGAACCAAGAACCATGAACCAAGAACCATGAACCAAGAACCAAGAACCAAGAACCAAGAACCAAGAACCAAGAACCAAGAACCAAGAACCATGAACCAAGAAACAAGAACCAAGAACCAAAAACCAAAATCCAAAAACCAAGAACTAAGAACCAAGAATCAAGAACCAAGAACCAAGAACCAAGAATCAAGAACCAAGAACCAAGAACCAAAAACCAAGAACCAAAAACCAAGAACCAAGAACCATGAACCAAGAACCATGAACCAAGAACCAAGAACCAAGAACCAAGAACCAAGAACCAAGAACCATGAACCAAGAACCAAAAACCAAGAACCAAGAACCAAGAACCAAGAACCAAGAACCATGAACCAAGAAACAAGAACCAAGAACCAAAAACCAAAAACCAAAAACCAAGAACTAAGAACCAAGAATCAAGAACCAAGAACCAAGAACCAAGAACCAAGAATCAAGAACCAAGAACCAAGAACCAAGAACCAAGAACCATGAACCAAGAGCCAAAAACTACTTACATGATCGCTTTAAACATTTTATTACTAGTTTTTAAACTAAAAACCACACAATTCACTGAGTTAAAGCACAGTTCAAGCTTACGATTCAATAAAATTGTCCTAAAGTCAAGAGACTTAAAACTGAAGCAATGAAAATTTAGATTCAGCTTTTATATAAAAAATTTCCTATTACGGAGTTCACGATTTTCGACAATTTTTCACGACTCACACGATTGGTGTTTATTGCTCGATTTATTAACTTCCTGTAAAATTGACAAGGAATTGAGGACGTTGATAATTTATTTGAAATTCATCGTTTTCAATGGAAATTTCCATTTATGGTATTAAAAAAATAATAATTTTATTGTGATTTTAAAATCGCTCATCGCTAAGGGCCTAGATAGAAAGTTTTGGAGGAAGGGGGGGAAGGATTTGAAAAAAGCTATGGCAAATTGACCAAATTTTTCCAAAGAGTAAGGTAGATCCCCTTCATATGTCTTCACCCTCTATTCATCTCTTAATTTTAAGCCAAAATTTCAGGACTTTTGTCCAATTTGGAGCTACCCGGTTGGACCATGCACTAGTCAAAGTGTCCCAAGTAGCTGTAAAAATAATTGAACTTGTCAGAAGGAAGACTGAAGATTGGTCGGTTAGATCTTGAACAACTAGAGTGGATGTTAAGCAATAAAATCCAATTGTGGCTACAATTTTGACGAAAGCGAAACATGAGCGCATTGCTTACCGGCTGCAGTCAAGAAAGTTTCAAAAGAGGAAGGACCATTTTGGACTAATAACCCTCTCCTCCCCTTAAACTCTTACATTTTTAAAATACTTGTTTAATTTGCTAGAGTTTTTTGGAGAAAAACATACCAAACACTCCCCAACTCCCAAATCCGTCGGGCTGAAATCAAGAATAAGATTCAAAAAAGAGTATTTAAATGAAGTTTTGATTATCTTTATTTAAAATAAATTCAAAAATAGATTCAAGGAAGTTCCTTTAATATTTGAATTAATTCATTAACTTTAGTCACAGTTGCACTCAATTCCGATAACATTGCCTCAATTCTTGTGATATTTTGGCTTAAAATGTTGAAATTCGGTTCGAGTGCTAAGCATGCGTCGTATTTTATGCTTCTTGTCGTTGTTGTTGGTGCTTGCGTTGTTGTTGTAGTAGTTGTTGTAGTTGTTGTGGCTTCTTCGAGTGCTTTTTTGGCTTGAAGAGCTCTCAAATCTTGAATTCGACGTGCAAAAGTGTTCGAAAATTTCGAAACTTTGACTTCGTTCTCCAAAATGTCAAGTTTATCCTTCAAAGCTACGGAAGTTAAATTTGCTGACTCATTCTCAAGGTTATTAACTTTAAGCTCTAAAGCTGAATACTCTGCTGATGTACATTGAGCTTTTGCTGTTGCAACGACATTCCCAACATTTGATGGAGTATTTACAGCTGACAAATTAATGCAAAGATTCCCATTAAGGACCAAAGAACTAAGTTTAGTCAGCTTAGCAAAAGCATCGAAATCGATGTACGAAATTTTATTGTAACTTAAATAAAGTTCTTGAACAAGTGGATTAAAGTCAAATAAGCCTTTTTCCAGCACTTCCAATTGATTTCCATGCAAGAAAAGATTTAATAAATTTGGAAAGTCTATCAAGTCATGTTGATGGACTTCCTTTAGGCCAGTTTTATAAAGTTGAATTCCTTTGAGATTTGGAAAAACTTTACTTAATCCACGTGGAAAGTAAGGAGCTTGGATCATAATGGTTGAGAAAGACAAAACATCGTTGTTATTAAAGCCATCAAGATGCGTTCCTGAAATTGTGTCGTTGGTTCCTGCATCATTTGTAGTTGAATTGACTACACTTTGGACTTCACATCGATAAACGGTGCCTAAAGTACCCCATGCATTACGTATGAATTGACAGTTAAAATTGTAAGCTTGTGATGAAGCTATAAGTGCTGTGGCTATGCTGATGAAGGCATCAATGGAAAGATAAAAAGGAAAAAAATTAAATAAATTATGAAGAACCAAGAACCAAGAACCAAGAACCATGAACCAAGAACCAAGAACCAAGAACCAAGAACCAAGAACCAAAAACCAAGAACCAAGAACCAAGAACCAAGAACCAAGAACCAAAAATCAAGAACCAATGAACCAAGAATCAAGAACCAAGAACCAAGAACCAAGAACCAAAAACCAAGAACCAAAAACCACGAACCAGAAAGAACCAAGAACCAAGAACCTATAACCAAGAACCAAGAATCATGAACCAAGAACCAATGAACCAAGAATCGCTTACAAGATCGCTTTAAGCATTTTATTTCCAATTTTTCAGCTCAAAAACCAAAAAACCTAATAAAATGTTTTTAATAAAAATTTAAAAAAAGGTTTGCGAAGTCAATGAACAGCTAGCAAACTACTAAAGCTATGGATAATCTAAAACTGAAGCACAAACTGCTGATGTGCTTACTTTATGCAGCAAAAAATAAAAAAATCCAACACGACTCGCACGATAAATGACGAAAAGTTTAATTACTTGTGCTGTTTATGGCTATGTGATAAGGTTTAGGGGACAATGTTTGGACTTTTTTATGGATTTGGTTGTTGTTTATTTTTGACATAACCATCCCGGCCCTCACTCCACCCCTAAAACTTTTTTTCATAAAAGTTTTTTGATTTTGCTTTAAAAATTTGCAATTTATTCAATTTTTCTAAATTGACATTCTTATAATGTGAAGATGATTAGAGGAAACACCTGCCTGTCAATTTAAACCAATAAATTCATTCGCCACTTTTCACAATTTTTAAAATTTCCTCCAATTTTCTCTCGATTTTCTCAAATTTTCCATCAATTTCGTCGAACTTTTCCTCAAGTTTTGCTTCAATTTCTCCAAATTTCCTCTCAACTTCCTCAATTAACTTTTCCAATGTCTTTTTCGTGCTCGCTCGGAAAACTTTTTCGTCAATTTCCATCTTGTCGATTTTTTTGAAGGCAAAAGTTTTAAAATTAATCAAATTTTCCTCAAAAACTTCCAATTTTATGTCAAAATTTTCATCGTCGAGTTTTGAGATTTCAGTTCTTGATTTGGGGCTAGTTGATGCTGTATCTGTTGATGTTAAGCTCACTTCCTTTAAATTTGCAATGTTTCTGTCCATTTTTGAAACAGTTTTGGTCAATTTTTCGTCAAATTTTGAAACTTTTTCATCTAAAATAGTTTTAAGTCCTTGAAAATGCCCACAGTCAGTTCCATTTGTAGCTTGAGCCACCAAATCTTTTAAATTTGCAGCCAAACCATCGACTTTCGATTCAAGTGCTTCAAATTTTGTAAAATTTTGAAACCAAAAGATCATTTTTTGAAGTTCTTCTTGCTTTTCCATGTCAATTTGTACAGATTTTAAGCCTTGCAGCTTGTCTAGGACGAAATTTTGAATTCTTAACCTCATTATTCAAGTTTTCAAGTTTTTCCTTAAATTTTTCTAAATTTAAATTTTTCGACTCAATTTCAAGGTTTTTAACATTTTGCAATAAATTTGAAAAATCTGAATTTGTGCAGTGCGATTTGACAATTTTGATGATGTTCTGGACCTCTGTTGGATTGTCTTCAGCCTTCATGTTGACACAATTGTTTGATTCAAGGTACAACGTCTTTAACTTAGGTAAATTATCAAAAACATTCGAGTCAATATGCGAGATTTTGTTGGATTTTAAATAAATGTAATCTAAATTTGGATTAAATTTAAATAAATCTTTTTCTAAAACTTCCAAACTGCTGATGTACAAATAAAGATTAGCTAATTTTGGGTACGGTCTTAAGTCACTCTGATGAATTTCCTTCAAACCAGTGCCGCGAAAATAAATTCCTTTAAGATTCTTCAAAAATTTAGCTATGCCACGTGGAAAATAATGAATCTGTCCTTTGGCAACATTATAAAAAGCCCCAACATTGTCGTCATTATGGCCAGCCAGATGAGTTCCAGATATGTCATAAACTTGTGCTTCATCTGGTGAAGTTATAATGGCAGAGTTTGATACTAAGCAGTAGTAAGTTGTTCCTAACGTCCCCCATGCACCAGCTTTATAGTCACATTCAAAAGTAGCTGATTGTGAGGAGCCAAAGAGAGCTACAGCTATGCTGATGAAAGCACTAGAAGAATAAGAAAATAAAATTCAAATTTTGTAAGTGATAGTTGCAGTGTTGTCCAAACTGTGTGCTGCGACACACTATTGCCGCGACGCTGAGTTGTGGCTCACCGAGGCTCGTAGCCAGTTTGGGGAGGGGGGATTTTGGGGACAAATCCCCTAACGTAAACAGAAATTTCTTTATTTTGCTAGGGTTTTTATGAAAAAATCACAAAATCCCCCCCCCATTAAATTTTCCATACAAAAAACTTTTTATCCCCCCGCTTCAAATTCTTGGCTACGCCCCTCACCGCTAAGGTGTGCCGTGGCTCAAAAAGTTTGGATAACCCTGCAATTGGGGGGGGGGGGGAGGTCAAGGCCAATGTTATTGTACGCTGTAATAAGAATTTGACTTACATGACTAGCTTTACCATTTTGACGTCTACAATCACAAAAACACATAAAGTGCTTTCAAGAAAATATTCAATATTTTTTGGACAATTCAAGGAACGGATCACAGCTGCGTCTTAATTGTCTGAAACACAACTCGAATAACTTAAAATTAAAACTGAATCCAGAACCGCAAATTAATCATCTTTTATACAAAGAAAACTCTCAACTCATTTTTGAGAGAATTTAAGTTGCTGATAAGACAGTTCTGCATCTTTAATTCTGTGGATGAATGGGAATCACCGACGAAAACTTCATATTATAGATAAGAAGTATGAGTTGATTTTGATGCTGTGCTGATGACTTTTGTAGTCATTTAATTAATATTTTTGGAGTTGAAGCTTAATCAGCAGAGGCTTTCCGAGATTCCCTAACTCAGCTACAACCAAATTTGTAAATAAATGTCCAGGAAATCGACTGCTGATCCACAGCAATTCAATCCAATTTTTAAGAAACTTTAAAACCAAAAAGAAAAAAAAATTTTTGTTTGCAATTTTATTGAATTTCACTTTTAAAATCTGGAAAATTGACAACTTAACGATAATAAGACGATTAAGGCAGACCTCTTTAGGAATGAACACTTTTCGAAGCTTTCAAAATTTCCTCAAATTTCCTTTCAATTTTCTCAAATTTTTCATCAATTTTCCTCTCAACTTCCTCGATTGACCTTTCTAATGCCATTTTCATGCTAGCTTGGAAAATTTTATTCTCAATTTCCATCTTGTCGATTTTTTTGTAAGCAAAAGTTTTAAAATTGCTCAAATTTTCCTCAAAAACTTCCAATTTAAAGTCGAAAAGTTTAACTTTTTCATTGAATTTTGTTGTTCTGCTTCCGGGTGATGTGTCATGTGCATCTGTTGATGTTATGCTCATACTGTTTGGTCCTGTAAAGTGTCCACAGTCAGTTCCATTTGAAGATTGAGTCATTAAACTGTCGATTTTTGATTCAAGTGCTTCAAATTTTGTAGAATTTTGAAACCAAAAGATCATTTTTTGAAGTTCTTCTTGCTTTTCCATGTCAATTTGTACAGCTTTTAAGCCTTGCAGCTTGTGTTGGACGAAATTTTCAAATTTTGAATTCTTAACCTCAATTTCCAAGATTTCAAGTTTTTCCTTGAATTTTTCTAAATTTAAATTTTTCGACTCAATTTCAAGGTTTTTAACATTTTGCAATAAATTTGAAAAATCTGAATTTGTGCAGTGCGATTTGACAATTTTGATGATGTTCTGGACTTCTGTTGGATTGTCAGCAGTATCTTTGTTGACACAAATATTTGAACTAAGGTACAAACTCTTTAACTTTGTCAGCTTGTCAAAAACATTCGAGTCAATATGCGAAATTTTGTTGGATTTTAAATAAATGAAGTCCAAATTTGGATTAAATTCAAAAAGATTTTCTTCCAGTACTTCCAGCTGATTATTATCCAAATAAAGACTTGTCAACTTTGAAAATGGCTTTAAATCACTTTTGTGGATTTCTTTCAGTCCCGAGTTCACAATGTGCATTCCTCGAAGATTCTTAAAAACTTTGTTCAAGCCACGTGGAAAATAATGAATTTTTCCTTTACCAACATCATGAAAAGACACAACATTGTCGTCATTTTGACCAGCCAGATGAGCTCCTGATATGTCATCAACTTTAGCTGCATCAAGTGACGTTATGCCTGCATCATTTATGACTTCACAATAGTAGATTGTTCCTAAAATCCCCCAACTTCCGGTTGTATATTTACATTGAAAAGAAGCTGATTGTGAGGAGCCAAACAGAGCTACAGCTATGCTGATGAAGGCACTAGTTGGAAGAAAGGGGAGAAATTTGTAAGTGATAGTTGCAGTGCTGTACAAAATGTGTTCCGCGACACACTTTTGCCACGACGCCAAGGGTACGGAACTGATGAAATGATCAAATGGTTTCAATCAGTTCCGTACCCTTGCACGACATTAAGTTGTGGTTTATCGCTAAGGCGTGTTGAGGCTCAAAAAGTTTGGACAACCCTGCAATTGGGGTTCAGAGTCAAAGCTTCATTACGCGAGTGACTCAAATTTTGCAATATAAAGTTTAGACTTACATGATTAATTTCACCATTTTGATGGCAAACGCAGGCAATTATTGAAAAAGTATGAATTTAAGACACAGCTGCTAACTTGTTAAGAATTGACCAAAACTTCAGATGACTTAAAACTGATGCCAGAACAGCACATAAAATGCTTTTTATATCAAATTGCTCTCCCCTCTTAAGTTTTAGGAGCATTTATGTTGCTGATAAGTCTGGGGCCGTTCACTTATGACGTCCAGAGGGGGGGAGGGGGGGAGGATGGATTGAGGGGGGGAGGACGGATTGGGGGGGGGGAGATGGGGGGGGGGGGGGGGGGGAGAGGGGGGGGGGGGGGGGGTAGAGGGGGGGGGGGAGGTTGAAGAGTCAGGGTCAGATAGAAAAGAACAATAGAAATTCCTAGAAATTCATTATTATTTTTTGAAAACTAATCGTCAAATTTGGACGTCATAAGTGAACGACCCCTAATGTCCGCATGTTTAATTCTGTGGCTAAATGGGAATAACCGACGACATTGTTGATAAGAAATTTGAGCTGATTTTGATGCTGCTCGACAATATTTGAAGCTTTTCATATTTTACAGCATAGCAAGTTCCATCAACATGCCAAGAATCTCTACAAAACTTCGTCTACATCTGCGCGACTTTTCTTCATCATTTTTCGACATTCTTGGTGCTGTAAAGTTCTAAACTGTCACAGAAGATTCTCAACCATCGAACGAAAAGGATCAAAAAAAAGTCTTCAATTAACGCCTAGAAATGGACTTCCTACTCTCAAAAATTCCAAGAGTTTATAAAGTCTGCAAGTGCTGCGACCTCAAAACTGGAAATAAAATTTTTGCATCCGTTTTGTCGTCGTTTAAAGTTCTATTGTTGATTGTCATGTGGTACCGGCTGTACACTTTGGATGACACTGTTGATACCGTTTTGACAGCATTTGATGGACCGGCAGCGTCAAAAGTTGAGGAGAAAATTGGTATGTGTGAGGAGCTAGAAGGTGGATTATTGTTGTGAGGGAAGAAATTTTGTGATTTTTATTATGAAGAAAATTTGAGAAAAAAATTAAAAATTTTGAAAAAATTAACCGTGCGAATAGTTAAGAGGTAATTTTAGAATTGCGGGCTGATAGTTTTATGCAAACTGGAATGGATAGCAAGAACTAAATGCGAATTTATTAAGAGTTGGAAACTTTGCGATGTTTTAAAAGTTGGAAGGAATGTTTCGAAGATCGAGCTGAAAAAAACTTAAAATGGGTAAAAATTCCTAAATTGAAGAACATAGAAAATTGGAAGGAAAAATAATTTGTTCGTAAAGTTGAAAGGGACGATTACGAAAGTCAGGCTGATTTTTTTTTATTTTAAATATTTGATCAAAAAAAATCATTAAATCCTCAATTCATAATTTAACTTTTGACATTCCCACCAGATTACCTGATCTCTTTAGAAGCTATCATTGTTCTAGTCGTCATTCTAGTTCCAACATTAGTTTGCCTCCTTTTCATCAAAGGAATCAACGATGTAAGTTGCAAAACCCTCAAAAATTCATTAAATTCTCTAAAAATTCCCACATTCCAGCAAAACACATACTACATGCTGCCATACATCTACATGTACACCATCCCAGCTATCCAAATTTTGTTGCTCGCATTCTTCAGCATTTTCCTCATTTTCTTCTACATCAGCTTCATTCATCACATTGTGTTCTTCGTGATTGTTGCTGCTTTACTGGGAGGAGCCGTCGCTTACGTTCCCATCTGTGCTTATTCATTGTATCGTGAGATTGAGGAAGGTAAAATGCAGAATTTGGAAGGAGTTGGAACTGATGGATATGTCTCATAATTAAATACGTGTTAGTGCTACTTTACAACCTAAAATAACCTCAAAAATTCAGTATTGAAGGACAATAATCATAAGCGGTCAATGACTTTACTCTCAACTTAGTTTGACTTACTTCAACCATATAAAGCTATATTAATGTTAAAAATAATTAAAGTATTAAGCATAAAACCACCAAAGAAGCTACAAAATTAATAAAATATTAGTTAAAACAGTTTCTCAACTTTTGACTTATTTACGGATGCACCCCAACCACCATCTCGAATTCACTTCCGCACAACTGTCAATAAGAAGTAAACATCAATGTCAATCCTCGCTGTCGCCACACTGTCCACAATTTATAGATTTTTCTCGCCGTTCTTGTTCTTATCATCTTTACTGCGTAGTAACATGCATTCTTGGACTTGATGATAACCCAATAGCAAGCTGCTGACTATAAAAATTCACATTTTAGACTCGCAATAAAATTTCATAATTATCAATTCAAGTTTTATTTTTAGAATGGCAGTCAACAAGTCATTCCTGATCTATCCCAAAATTTAAGTTGTTTTTGACGCCACATTGTCTGTGTTCTAAAGTCGCAGACTTTCAGTCGCTGATTTTTTTTTTTGCTTCTTTTTCCTTTTGATTCTCAAATGTGCGTAGAGAATTTAATCAGAAGATTTGTTGTTTTTTTGTCGAATGTGAGGAATTGGAGATGATCCCGGGAAGCACAAGTCGCTGATGGATTTGATTTAAATCTGGCGTGGCTTTAGCTTGAAACTGGATTCGATTTAAATCTGGAGTGGCTCTGGCATGGAGCTGGATTACATTTAAATCTGGCGTGGCTCTGGCATGGAGCTGGCATTGAGCTGGATTTGATTAAAATATGGCGTGGCTCTGGAATGAAGCTGGATTTGATTAAAATATGGCGTGGCTCTTGCAAAGAGCTAGATTTGATTCAAATCCGGATTCACGCAAAAGCCACGCTAGCATGGCGTTGGATTTATGATCGATTAACCGACGCTTGCCGTCCGGGAAAGAGTCAGCTGAAGCACATCTCATTCTGCAATGTTTTTAAGTCCTGAAGTAGTCGATAAAAAGTGTTTAGAAGCAATAAAACAATCGAAAGCATCGAATTCTATGCTGCAAAACATTGAAAGTCCTTCAAAGTGTTGATGTTTTTCAATTTGAATTTTTTAAAGCCGTTATAGCAGATATGATCTTTACATTCTAAGCTGGTATTTTAAAGATTAGTTGCGATTTTAAATTATTTTGGGCAGCTTGAGATATGTCCCGAACCCAACGTCGCAAACCTTATCCTTGGGTAGGTTTTTAAGCAAATTTGGTAAATATCCTCAAGTTTTGCCTCAATAGCTCTAAAATTTGACTAATCTCAAATTCCTACAAATCCATTTCATTTTATCAAGCAAATTATTCAAATTGATCAGCAAATCAAATGCAATTTTCACCCCATAAACTAACATTCTATCAATAAATCAGCATAACTGCCCATAATATTGAGGTTAGAACTTCCAAACTGATCAAAACTTGCGATAACTTTAACTTCCAGCCAATCAAATTCATTCTTAAATGTGAAAATTTTGTATAAAACCGGAAGAAACTTTTCACAATTTTCTTTAACAAACTGTCGAGTGAACATGAAGGAAGTTCTCCTTCTAGTGGCTCTGCTGGTTCCTCAAATCCGTGGTGACATTTTCAATTTAACGACTGCAAAGTTTGAAGTTCTTGCCGTTCAGTGTCTAAAGTTTGGTAAATTTTTTGGTGACGTGATTGATAAAGGAAGTGGAGTTCGTGATGGAATTGTTAATGTGGCTGTTGCTGATTATTCTGATAACTTAGATGTGAATTGTTTGATTAGAAATGGATTGATGAAAATTAGTGAAAAAGTTGTGATTTTTGGTGTGACGAAGTTGACTTTTGAGTTTGCTGGAACTGAGCCGGATTATCTTGTGTATGTTCAGGACTATTCGGAAAATGTGAGTTTATTTTCAATTTTTTTAATTTTTTCAATTTTTTCAATTTTTTCAATTTTTTTCAATTTTTTCAATTTTTCAATTTTTCCAATTTTTTCAATTTTTTCAATTTTTTCAATTTTTTCAATTTTTTCAATTTTTTCAATTTTTTCAATTTTTTCAATTTTTTCAATTTTTTCAATTTTTTCAATTTTTTCAATTTTTTCTATTTTTTTTTTTTTCAAAACCAGAACAACCTCAGCGCAATCGGTCAAAAATACTACAACAGCATCAAGCCATCCACAAAGTCAATCATCCTCTCAAGCTTCTCCAACCAAGCTGACTTTGAATCCTCAAACAACATGCAGCATCAAGTCAACTCCTTCTACAAGTCCATAAACTACGCGAATCCATTAATCCTGAACATCTACGGTGCCTCACATTCAATCCACAAATACATCAAGACACACGACCATTACAGCTACAAAAAAGTCAACAGATTAACCAAACACGATGAATACCGTCCATTAATCGACAATTTGAAGATCTCGTACCAAGAAGCTCTGCCTTACTCGTACCTAGACGATGACAGCCACATCATTGGAGTCGATGGAAACTTGATCAATGAATTCTGTAAGCACACTGGACTTGACTATAAAATTGTCAATGAACATGATGGACAGCTGTTGGAAGTCCCACCATCAGTAAAATTTGACATCAACTTAAACAGACGAGCAGCAACTGACAATCTAAAGGCACACGACATCGCCCATCTCTATGACACTAGTCCAGATCAGTGCCTTTTGGCACCAAGGGACATCGCCGTCTACAAAGCATTTTCGAATCCATTTGACAACTTTGTGACAACCTTCTTGATCTCTACCGTCATTCTGATTGCTGTTCTATGGAAGTTTATGAAATGGCTGCAGGATGAGGAACTGTCATTAGCCGACCTAATCATCTCAATGCTCAAAGTCTTCATTGGACTAGCAATTGATGATAATCGATGGCGTTACTGGTCGATGAAGGAACGATGCTTGCTGATGCCATTCCTATTCATGTCCATCATCCTGATTGCACTTTATCAGTCATTCCTGATCTCAACATTGATTGTGGAACATCCAATGAAGTCTGTACGGTCAATTGAGCAGCTCAACAAGTCAGACACTCAAATTTACGAATATTCCGACGGAATTCACAATTTTGAGGATGGGAAAATTGTAAACTTAGTTCCAGTCAACAGCAGTAAGCATGCAATGTTGATGCTGCCTGAAAATTATGACAAGAACCTCGCGTATGCTGTCCGGTGTCGATTTGCTGAAGATTTTGTAAAATCTAGAAGGAACATGCAAGAAAAGCGGATTTTATTTGACGTCCTTGAGGATCCTCAGTACCCAAGAGCCTACTCAACCTACGCCATAGCTGATGACTTTCCATACAAAAATAAATTCAAGTTCTCAGTGATGGCACTTGAGGAATCTGGCGTGACTAATTTTTGGACTAAACAACTCATCCGTGACCGGTTCCCAAAGCATCCAAAGAAGGAGGACAATGGCTACAATTTCCTTGGAATTATGATTTTTCCGTTCCTTTTGATTTTCGGTGGAATTGGAATCAGCTTTGGGTCATTTGTTATGGAAGGGATACATAGTCGGTACTCCGAATGGGCGATCGAATGGATGATTAAGTTTAGGATTTTTGAGAATATTTTAGTCGGTGAGATCAGGAAGAAGAGGATGATTATGGTTGAACCAATGGGTGGGGTTGGTGGGGGATGGGATGGGAAGATGAGGACGATGAGCATTTAAGGGGGTTGCTGGGGGACTGCTAAAGGGTGGTAAGATATGCTTCGAGGTGCTAAGGAAGTGCTAAGTGATAACATTGAGGTTATGGACACTAAACTTGTGGATTTTTTGAGTAATTGTTGCTTTATTTACTGTAATTTGAATATTTTGAGTGAAAATAAATGTTTTTTGGTGTGAAACAGCAAAAAAATAAGTTTTAAACTGAATTTAAGATAGCCTTCAACCTTTGGTTGATTTCTAGCTTATTATCATGATTTTCAGACTCCATTTTGTGGATCTTGTTCATCAACTTTACCTGGACGCTGTCAATTCCTGCAAGTTTTGCCTCAATTGCTTCCATTTTCTTCCCAAACTCCTCAATTAAAGTCACAATTGCTGCAAAATTCTGATTATTTGATGACTCAATGTTGTTTAATGTTGTGGTCGTGTCTTGACTGAATGTTGAAGCTTTTTGGATTATGTCTTCAACTTTGTCTTCAAAGGACTTAGATCTGATCATCAATCCATTCATGGTAGCTGAAATGTGATCAACTTTGAAGCTTATCGCTGAGCATGTCTCAAAATTGATATTTTGCATTTTCTTTGGACCTTCTGTTGATGTAGCAATCTCCTTTCTATCCTTTAAAACCTGAACCTTGTCTTTGAAAAAGTTGGCAAATTTTGACTTTTTAACTTCACTGTCCAAACTGTCAAGCTTAACTAAGTTCAACTCAACCTCGAGACTTTTGACTTTTTGCTCTAAATCTGCAAACTCTGAATTTGTGCATTTATCTTTTGCTGCTTTGATGACATTTTGGACTTGTGTTGAGCCACTTACAGCTGCCATGTTAATGCACAAGTTAGATTGAAGAAACAAATACTTTAACTTTCTCAATTTGTCAAATACATTCGGATCAATGTGGCTGATTTTGTTGGAATTTAAGCTGATTAATTCCAAATTTGGATTGAACTCAAATAAATCCTTTTCTAAAACTTCCAAATTACTTGAATGTAGATGAAGATCCTTCAATTTTGGAAAGACTTTCAAGTCATTTTGATGGATTTCCTTTAGTCCAGTGCCGGTTATAAGAATTCCTTTAATATACTTAAAGAAGTTGTTAAGTCCACGTGGAAAATAATGAGTTTGTCCCAAATTTGAAATATAAAAACCCTCGACATTGTGGTAGATGTGGCCAATTGTATGAGTTCCAGTTATGTCATCAATGTCTGCTCCATCATTTGAAGTTATGCTGACCAAATTTTGGACATTGCACCAATAAATTGAGCCCAAAACTGTGTTCCAAATGCTCTTATTATATTTACAGTTGAACGACACAGATTGTGCAGCACTAAAGAATGCTAAAGGCATCAAAATGAGAAGTCTAAAGGAAGTAAGGAGATTAAAAAATCAGGAAAAAATTTAAAAATGTCAAACAGCTTTACTTACTTATCAATTTTAACCATTTTTCGTAAATGATTAGCTTAAAATAAAGCTTTTAAAATATATCAAGCAAGTCACAGCTCTCAGCGCCTCCAAAAATGTCTTCAAATCCGAACAAATGTTTTTAAACTGATCTAAACTCGACTCATTTTTTGAGAGTAATTCTGACTGATAAGGGGTCGTTCACTTATTACGTAACACTTTTGAAAAAAAACGATGTATTTTTGACAATTTGAAAAAAAGATTTTTAAAAGAACATTTGTGGGAACGAAGTGGAGGGGGGGGGGGGGGGGGGTTGGTGGGGGAGGGGGGGGATTGGTGGGGGAGGGGGGGATTGGTCGGGGAGTGGGGGATTGGTCGGGGAGGGGGGGATTGGTGGGGGTTGTTGGGGGCTGATGGGGGCTGGTTGGGATTCGTGGGGATTGGTGGGGGTTGTTGGGGGCTGGTTGGGGTTGCTGGGTACTGGTTGGGGTTGTTGGGGGCTGGTTGGGGGTTGTTGGGGGGCTGGTTGGGGTAATGAAGGAGGGTTAGAGTTGTTGGGGGTTGGGGGGAGTTCGTGAGACATCACATAAACCTGCGTCAATAAACTCAATAAACTGATCTTTGAGAGAATTTTTGCTACTGATAAGTCAGGTTCGTATTTGAGTTCTGTTGATGAGTGGGAAAAACCGAAGACACTCAAAAAAGCTGATTGTGATGCTGTTATAAAAGATTCTTATTATTATGACGTCCGGGATTTAGGTAAGGGGGGGCACTATGCAAAAAAATGGGACATCATTCATGTCGACAGGTTTTAATTAGTTTTATGGTCGAATTATGTTCTCTGTCCGTTGAAAACAAAAGCAGATGGTTAGATTAGAATGGGGAGCATTTTAAGCATAATTCAGGTTTTGAGGTTAAGAATGAGAAATTGATTGAAATGAGGTTATGAGCAGTTGATTAAGAACCAAATTTGCTGTTGTTTTAAACGGAACAGTTAATTTATTGTTTGCATTCTAAATTTTTACTTCAACTCAGCAGCGAAGCCAATGAATGGACAAATTTTATTGTATGAAAAATTATGAGAAGGATGGGGAAAGGGGGGGGGGGGCTTGGCTGGTTTTAAATCCAAATTTAGCTTCGTCACTGCTTTGTCTTAATTATCATGGTTTTCAGTCGAGTTTCAATCAAGTTTGCATTGACCTTTAACAGCTTTGATGATGTTTTGAACTTCAGTTGGATTGTCTTCAACTGCCATGTTGATGCAAATATTGGAATTAAGCTTCAAGGTTTTCAATTGAGGAAGTTCATCAAATACATTTGGATCAATTTGTGAAATTTTATTAGAATACAACTCAATCCATTGAATCTTTGGATTAAACTCGAACAAATTCTTTTCAATTACTTCCAATTGACAATTGCTCATGTGAATATGAACTAAATTTGGAAACTCTTTTAAATCATTTTGATGAATTTCCTTCAATCTACGTCTAGAAATTTGAATTCCTTTAATATTTTTAAAAAATTTACTAAAACCACGTGGAAAATAGTGAATGTGACCAAATGGAAAATAAAGTGCATCAACATTGTCATTGTTGTAGTCAGTCTGATGTGCACCAATTATTGATTGAGTGCTGTATCTGGTGAAGTTATTATCAAAGAATTTTGGACTTTACAGTAATATCTATTGCCAAAAACTCTGTTCCATAAGCCATACACATATTCACATTGAAATGATGATGATTTTGTAGAATCAGAAAAGATTAAGCATGAGAGAAGGCTTTTGGAACTAAAGATTAGAAAACAATCAGATTCGCGAAACAAATAAAAAATTACAGTATTATTTTAGACATCCTAAAGCCATAGTGAAGCTCCTGCTTACAGTTATTTAATGAATTGTCTACAAACTGAATTCAAAACAGCACATTTATTGACATTTGTGACTCAGGGGGAGGAAGGGAGTGGGGGGGGGGGGGGTTAAAAGTTTGGTTTTGGTCATTAAATCTATTTTCTTATTATTTATTTGTCGACGTTACCGTCCGGAAGAATTAGTATTTATACATGTTTTACTTTTTACATTGATTTTACAGGCTCTCGTTTCAATCTTCTGTGGACATGACGTGATACTTTTCAGGTCCGTTCTGACAATATTCCATTATAAGGTAATCTTGTAGCTCTCGTTCCTATTTCTCCCGCTACACTTCAAGTTCCTGATCCGTTCCTTAATCCAAAGTTGCCCAAAATGCCCAATTATGGCTTGATCTCGTACATTAAGCAGTCGAAGTATCTAAACTTCTGAAAAAGAACAAATTTGGAAATGGCTGGATTCGAACCGACGACCTTCGAGATACCATACCAAATTTGAGCCAAGCGCCTTACCTATTCGACCAGCAAAGCACTTAACTGCTTAACTGCTTTTGTATGATTCTATAAAACCTTTTACGAACTTGATGAGGGGTAGGCGTGTAGCCAGGAGGGTCTTGTCCCTTCCTTAAACGTTTTGAACAGCAGCGAGAGCACGACCTAAAACGCTTAAGAGGGGGACAAAACCCTCCTGGCTACACACCTGATGAGGGTTTTGGTTTTAAAATATCTCATTTTAAAATGATCTAGACTAGGCTGTCTATCAGTTTTTGACATCCGGAATAAAACTCTGAAAAATTTTAAAGCATTTTCTAAGAAAAATAGGTACAAAAAAGTAGGAAATTAAGGATTTTAGGCGGGACGTCTTTCAAAATTTGCACTTAAAAGAGAGCAGTTGGACAGTCTAATTCAAAAATATGATGGGGGTGTATATCTTCAACGGGTACTGATAATCTACTTCTTTACTCAAAAACGGAAGTCATGAGAAGTCAACCTTTCTGTCAATGTTGGAGGGTCCATAGTGTGATGGGGGAAAGGGATGGAGTTTGAAGTCATTTGAAGTTTTGCGGGAGGGTTGATTCTAAAGTTAAGTTCATGGACTGTTGAAAAGAAAATGTTGTGGATTAAATGTTGCTTTATTGGTCGTATTCTGAGGTTTTTTAGTTAAATTATAAGTTTTTTGGTTGTTAATTTACAAAAAATTGATTACACTTGTTCTGGCTCAATTTTGTTGATCTTGTTGATCAACTTTTCCTGAATAATGTCAATGCCAGCCAAGTTTTCATAAATCGCTTCCAATTTCTTCTCGAAGTTCACAATAAATCTCATGATTGTGACGAAATGTTGATCATTTGTGGCTTTAACATCCTTTAAAGTTGTGGTCATTTCTTTAATAAATTTTGAGTTTCTTTCGTCCATTGCTGCGATTTTCTGATCAGTGTTGCTGGTTCTTAAATTCATGTCCTTTAAAATTGTTTCAAAATGGTTGATTTTTGATTCTAAGGCTGAACAAACCTCTAATTGGGGACACTTTATGGCTTCAGTTGTAGAAATTTCTTCATAAGTTGTTGTTGTTGTTATAACTTCAGATCGTGTCTGGACAGCTTTTAAGTCTTGAAGACGTCGATGGAAAGTGTTGGAAAATTTAGAATTTTGAACCTCAATTTCCAGTTTTTCAAGTTTTTTAGCAACGTTTTGAAAAGTTGAATGGTTTGCCTCAATTTCGAGATTTTTGACTTTTTTCTCCATTTTTGGATAGTCTGAATTTTCACATTTATCCTTGACTATTTTGATAGCATTTTGAAGTTCTGTTGCATTATAGCCAGCTGTGGTTGTACACATATTAAACTCTAATGCCAAATGTCTTAATTTAGTCAGACTGTCAAATAGATTCGGGTCGATATGCGAGATTTTGTTTTTATTCAAATAAATCATTTCTAAATTATGATTAAATTTAAATAAATCCTTTTCAAGGACTTCCAGTTGACTTACTTGCAAGAAAATGGCTTTTAAGTTTAAAAAAACTTTCAAGTCACTTTGATGGATCTCCTTTAGTCCAGTATTGCGAATTTGAATGGCTTTAAGGTTCTTAAAAAATCTGATTAAGCCACGTGGAAAAAAATGAATTTTGCCTTTATTAACAATGTGAAAGGCATTGACTTTATCGTTGTTGTATCCAGTTTCATGATATCCGGAAATGTCATCGATTTCTACTGCATCAAGTGAAGTTATAGTGACAGAGTTCTGTACTTGGCAGTAATAAATTGTTCCTAATTCGGCGCCCCATGAACCAGATATGAATCGACATTCAAAAGAGATTGACTTTGTAGAGGCAAAAAGGCCCAAGAATATGGACACAAGAAGGCTGTTCAATGGATGAATATAATTAGTCGTTTAGTTGAAGTTTCGACCCTAAAACCAGGCTCTGACTACTCACATGGCTAATTTGATCATTATTTCAGCAGACCTTAAAGCTTCGACTCACCAAAAATAACACAAAATTCAACTGATTAGAACCAAATGGATGATTTAGAAATAAAGCTAGAACAGCACATAATTCGTCTTTTATACAAATTTTCAACTCATTTTTGAGAGAGTTTTGTTTTCCTGTTGCTGATAAGTCAACTATACATTTTTAATGTCCGTTACTGACTGGAATAAATTGATAAAAACTGCGTGATGATGTTTATTTTTTATTAAAGGAATTTAATCGGGCAAGTTATAACAGTTACTTTTACAGATATTTGAAGGATCTAGCAGAAGATTAAGATTTATCTGGATTGGATGTGTTAAAAAGGACGCTAGAGTCGTTAATATCATAATCTGGCAGAAGGCTTTAAATAATATTTGAATAGCACAAGTCAGTTATTCGAATAGAAATCTGTCGGCAGGCTGACATGATGCTGGCTTTTATTTAAGTCCAGCGCCATTCCAGAGTCACATCAGCTTGGTGTCGAATTTCTTATCGATTAACAGACTTGTGCTGGGTTTGGGATTGGGGTTGGTTTTAGCTGTAAGTTTACAAATTGTTGCTTAAAATTATTCTGGCTCGATTTTGTTGATCTTGTTCATCAATTTTACCAGTACAATGTCGATACCAGCTAGTTTTTCATCAATCGCTTCCAATTTCTTCGCGGTGTTCTCAATAAATCTCATTATTGTTACAAAATTTTGATCATTTGTGGCTTTAACATCCTTCAAAGTTGTTGTCGTGTCCTTGATGAATTTTGAAAGTTTTTGGTCATTTCCAGAAATTGCATTCTTGATAAAATCTGTGTCCTTAATAATTTCTTCCTTTAGGTTCAAATTGACGCCATTTTTTGCTGCAGCCGATTTTAAGACTTGAAGATTGGTTTGGAAAAAATTTGAGAATTTCGACATTTTTATTTCATTTTCTAAGTTTTGAAGCTTTTCTGAGAATAAATTTTTTGACTCAATTTCCAAGTTTTTGACTTTTTGGTACAAATTTGAATATTCTGAATTAACGCATTGAGTTCTTGTTTTTTTGATGACATTTTTTAAGCTAGATGGATCATTTATAGCATTAACACTAATGCAAGGGTTTCCTTCAAAGTATAAATACTTCAGATTGTTCAGCTTATCAAGCACATTCGCATGAATATGAGTTATTTTATTGTCACCCAAACTAATCATTTCTAAGTTTGGATTGAATTCGAATAAATTTTCCTCTAAAATCTCCAAATCACTGAACGACAAGAACAGATTTTTTAAATGTGTATGATCTTTTAAGTCACTTTGATGGACTTCCTTCAGTCCTGAGCTTGAAATTTGAAGTCCTTTAAGATTCTTAAAAAATCTGTTCAAACCACGTGGAAAATAATGAATTTGTCCTAATGTAGAAGTAAAAGCTTCAACATTGTCGTTATAATAGCCGGGAAGATGTGTTCCTGAAATGCCATCAACTTGTGCTGCATCGAGTGATGTTATGTTGACAGCATTTTGAACAGCGCACTGATAAGTTAATGGTAAATTCCCCAATCCACTTAAATGATATTTACAATTGAATGATGCTGATTGTGAGGACCCAAAAAGTGCCATAGACATGCACACAAGTAGATTAACTATTTTAACCATTTCTACACTGTTACTTGATGCTTTGTTTTTGTTATTAATTGATTTATTCAAGCCACAACTCAAAGTAACTTAAAAATAGACCTCAAATGCAAGCTGATGTCTTAAAACTGAAGTCAGAATAGCACAAGAAGCTTCTTTTATATAAAATTGACTCTCAATTCATTCAATTCACTATGAAAAGCATTTATAAGCTGATAACGCAATGTTTAAAGTTGCGGGAAAAACCCGATGTGAATTTCATCATTAAAAGAACGGCATACTGATTATGATGCTAAGCTGATGTGTTTTGTTGTCATTAGATGACTGCCGAACGTGAGATTCTATTGAGACTTCAAGTCAAAGTCACGCCAGATGATGCCCAATTTTTGATCGATCAACCGACTTGTGCTATCCAGAAATGACTTTTTCTGGACATCATCTTATAATGATCTAGACTCTAGAGCAGTGTTGTCCAAACTGTGTGCCGCGGCACACTGGTGTGTCGTAAAAAAGTTTGGTAATGACGCCAGCCGCAGCGACTTTTGTGATGGCTTTTCCCTAAAGTGTGCCATGGCTAAAAAAGTTTAGACAACACTGCTCTAGATTTTGAAAAGGATTAGTTTTATAATTGAACGGGATCGAACGCAATTGATCGTGGAGCAGTTGTACGACCCTATCGTAGTGCCAAATCATAAATAGTAAGACAAGGACAGTAAGTATTTAAAGAGAGAATGGTCGAGCCTAAGCCTTGACTCCAGCACATTTAAAACATAAATCATACAACAAGTATTCCATATAAAACTTCAAGACGCCGTCTTTAGATAATTTATAGAAATAGAGTCATGGATTTTTAGATTAATTGATGCAAACGGTAGCCAGCTTCAGACGCCATCTAAAGGAGGGAATCCCGAGTGGACAAAGTACTAGTTAAAAGCTTGCCATTGACTTGCCTGTTCACGGTGAGTAAGTATCCATTGACGTGCCTTTGCAACTAGACTTAGGGACGACTAATGACATATTTTGCGCTTTCCATTTAACTGGACATAGGAATTGCAAATATGTCTAGTTAATGTCCAGTTACAAAAAAATCGAAATAAAATAAATAACACGTGTCTATTTCTCCATATTTTTTCTTTTGTAAAATTTTATTATTGTATTAGTGTAATTAATTAATTAAAGTACACTATCACTTATGAAAAATCTCTAATAAACATTAAGTCTCGAACACTTGCGCGTGAAACAATTATATTTACTTAAAAGTTTCATACAAATTTTGGTGGACCTTATATAAGTGATTTCTGTAAGCGCTTGTGAAGTATATGGTCAAAAAAGTAAAGAAAATTATTTTTGAGTTTCGAGCACTTGATTGATTAGCATAAATGTCCAGTTAAAGTCTAGTTAACGTATAGTTCTCTATGTCGTATATATTTCGACAAGTTAAAAGACTGTTAAATGATTGTCCAATAATGGACTTTAACTGGCTGTGTCCACCCGGGAATGGATCACAATTGATTTGTATGGCCAGCGAAGTAATTAAGTAAGATGCTTTATTGATTCTATTTTGAATGATTTAATTAAACAAAAGTGGTTTTTGAATCCAAAAATAAAATTAATTTAACAAAAAAATTTTTCTGCATTCAAATTAATTATGATCGTTTCCTGACTCGATTTTATCGATCTTGTTCATCAACTTCACCTGAACACTGTCAATTTCTACTAAATATCCATGCATTGCTTCCATTTTCTTGTCAAGTTTTTCAATAAACTTCATAATTGCTCCAAAATTTTGATCATTTTTAGCGTCAATATCCTTCAAAGTTGTGGTTGTGTCCTTGATTAATTTTGAAAGCTTTTGGTCACTTTCAGATATCGCATTCTTGATAAAGTCCGCATCTTTCTTTAAAGTCGTAATTTTTGTCTTCAAATCAATAAAATGTTCATCTGTGCTTATAGTTCTGACAGTTGCTTTTAAGTCTTGAAGGTTGTTTTGGAATGAATTTGAAAATTTCGAACCTTTTATATCATTTTCTAGGTTTTGAAGATTTTCGTTCAATTTTGTTGAATTTAAAGTTTTTGACTCAATTTCAAGATTTTTAACTTTTTGAGTCAAATTTGAATTATTTGCATTTGTGCATTGCAATTTTACCTTTTTGATGATCATTTGTACTTGAGATTCACTATTTACAGCATTAAAGCTGATACAAGCGTTTGAGTCAAGGTATAAAGAACTTAATTTCGGTAAATTGTCAAATACATTTGGATCAATTTGCGAGATTTTGTTTGAATTTAAAAAAATTGAATCTAATTTTGGATTAAAAATAAATAAATCATTTTCAATGATTTCCAGTTGATTATCATAAAGTCGAAGGTCTACAAGTTCAGGAAAATCTTTTAAGTCACTTTGATGAATTTCTTGAAGTCCCATTTTGCCAATACAAATTCCTTTAAGGTTCTTAAAAAATTTATTTAATCCAATCGGAAAAAAGCTCATTTTTCCTTTGTTATAAACATTTAAATACTCAACATTGTCAGAATCATAACCAGCTGAATGCATTCCAGAAATTGAATTTACTTTTACTTCATCAAGCGATGTGACGTTTAAGGAATTTGCAGCATGACAGTAGTAAATGTTTGTTAAAGTTCCCCATCCACCAGTTACATATTGACAGTTAAATGAAACAGATTGTGAGGATGCAAACACAGCTAAGATGATGCCAACGAACAGCCTAAACATCAATTAAACAAGTTTTAGTGGGCTTGATCTTAATCATAACCAGCTTCCTCACGGACGTATGCGAGGTTTGCCTCATGGACGTCCAGCCAGGGCTTTTGACATTGAAGCTCAGAAAAAAAGACTAAACTCATGAAAGCATCTTTGATAACTGCTTGAGTTTAAATCAATTCTTCCACGCTAAGGCTTAAGTCAATAGCCCTGCAAATCGAACTTTATCTACTTACATGGTTATCCTTGCCATAAAAAGATTTTAAATTTAATTTTACAAAAGTTAAATCTTAGCAAAAATCAAGACTTTCAACCAGTTCCTCCAAAGTCTCCCAATTAAGCCAAACTTAACACTAAAGTTATACCAGCTCAAAAACTTCTTTTATACAAAAAGTTCTCTCATTTTTGGATGTTGATAAGACAATTCTGCTGCTGAGTGGGGAAAAAACGACGAGAACTTCACCACTGATAAGAAGCTGTGAGCAAGTTTTGATGCTGTTGCTATGAAGATCAAATGATTTGTTGTTTTTTTAAAAAGTTTATTGCCTTTGATTGAGAAGTAAGCATCAAAAATCACAATTTGTTTGAGCATTTCGGGGTGCATATTAACGAGGGGTACTGAAAATGTTCAGCGATGGGGAAAATTTTGAGGTTATATAACTTTTTCAGTCGTCAGGGGAGCAGTGAACATAGATCTGGTAAGTTTCTATTTAAAATAGGATAATTTATAGATTTTGAGGTTAAATTTTAAAATGTGAGGTTATGTAAACATTTTTTGAGGTTAGGTTCCAAATTTTTTGAGGTTATCTTTATAAATGAGTTCTAATTCTAGATTTTAGAAGTTTTTTTTTGAGGTTATGCTCAGAATTTTTGAGGTTATGCACAAAAATTTAGGTCAAATTTAAGACATTGCTATAAAAAACAACACCTGAAATCATGAAAAAATCGCAAAAAAAATCACAAATCAATTGTTTTTCTTAAATATATTTTTTTAAATATTTTCTTCATTTTATTCGATGATATACACCATAATCTGTGGTACAAAGGACACATCAACAATCAATCAATTTAAGAACATTTTTTTCTCTTCAGAAAATTAAACATTTTTTGAAATATTATTTTTTTTCAAGTCAGCATTCACCAACATAACTTTGAATAAAAAAATCAATCAACTGCTTTTTACTACTCAACATTTCCGTTTCCTTCATGCTCACGTTGCCATTTCAAATCGCTCAGTGCCGTGTGAATACGAAAATGAAGTCTCGATTCTAGTGAATATCCGGTGTAGTTCTTCTTTGCGTCTTCTAGACAAGCAATCGCAAGGTCAATTTTATTTTGTTCGATATGAAGGAGGGCGACCTCGACTATCGCGTATGGAATGATGAATGTGTCTTCTTTGATCGACTTTTGGTGGGAAATTGATTCTTCGAGGCATCTGGAGGGGGAAGAAAAAAATGGTTATTTTGGGGTTATGTTGCTGAATTTTAAGGTTATGTCACTAAATTTTGAGCTTAAATCAATGCATTTTGTGGTTAGAATCCCGATCACCGAATATTGAGGTTAAGTCACTGTATTTTGAAGTTAAGTCACCGAGTTTTGAAGTTAAGTCACTGAATTTTTGAGGTTTAGTCACTGAATTTTGAGGTTAAGTCTTAAATTTTGAGGTTAAGTCACTAAATTTTGAGGTTAAGTCACTGAATTTTGAGGTTAAGTCACCAAATTTTGAGGTTAAACCACATAAATTGAATTTAGATCAACAATACTTACTTCATAGCCTGTAATGGACTCTTCATATGCCTCAAGCAAGCACCTTTCATCAATAATAATAGAGCTCGATTATCAGTCTCATACTTCCTTATTGGATCATCAGTCGGACTCTCGTCAAGCGTCTTGATTCCCTTCTCAATTATCTTAAAAACTCCCTCAGCCAGCTGAAAACGCTTCCCAAGTATTTTAAATAAATTCCACAAGAACATCAACTCGATCGCAGGTAAAATTAAAATTCCGGTATTTAAAAATCTTTCAGCACGTCGACACGCAAACTTTTCCATTGGAAGTGATTTTCCTGCTATTCGTTGCTTATAAACTGGCACTTCCTGCATGAGATTTTTTATCGTTCGCTTCTCACTCGATGATAATTCTTGTGAGTCCAACATACACATCAGTGATGCCTTTTGGTATGTGTACATCGTTCTCGACCACTTGCTGTTCTCGACGAGATATGTTGAATAGAGGATAGCCTCACGCCAATCTAACTTGAGACTGTTGACCCAGAGCATCTCCCAGAAACAAATGTGATGGAATTGAGTCCAGACATTTTGGGATTTCCATGACTTTTTGTACCAGACTAGAGATTCGTCGAGGTTTCCCTTCATGAACTCGAGACGGCCTTTGAAGAAGAGGAACCAGACGCCACTGGGGTATAGCTATGAGAATTTAAGATAATTTTAAGGTTAAAATTTTTGAGGTTATGTTCAAATTTTTGAGGTTAGAATCCAAAACTTACCTTCAGCTGCTTCTCAAGTATCTCATTACAGAAGTCTAAGTCACCCTCTTGATGGCTAAGCACATAGCACACAATCAAATGATATGACAGCAGTGTCATGACACACAGCACCTGCCTCAACCCAGTCATCTTTGATCCCATCACTAAATCTTGCATGCCTGACTGTTTATTTCCAGAAAATCCAATAAATTCTAGCAATTTTATCACACGACCAGGAAGCAGAGAGATCATAAGGTTAAAAGTACCAACGCCCATCCGTACGCCTGACTCAAAGTGCTCTTTACTAGCTGCGTTGTCCCATTTTCGTTGCGCAAGGATCTGATTGCAGTCTTTATAGCTGTTGAAGCATGTTCGAATTTTCATGCCACCTTTTATCATGCTAGCCAGTGTCTCGTCCTCGACAAATGTGAGCAAAGCTTTCAGTAGAAGTGCCTCAGCAAAGCACAACTCAGCATGTGCCTCAACTTCTGTATAGTCTCCAAAATTTGTCCTTTTGAAAGTCTTTCCGATACTTTCAGAAATTGAAGATTTTTTTCGAAACTTTTGACAAACATGAAGACATGATTTTAGTGCTTCTGATGCTGCTTCAATGTGTCGCTGCTCGAATGTCAACATCGCTTCTAAGAACAGAAAGACACTGTGACCAACAGCATGATAAATTGAGCAATGTGCATATGGCTTCATCATCTCGTGAGCTGCATCAATTTGGTTATTGAAAAATAGGTTTATGGATACTTTGGCTTCTTCGATTGCTTGGTTGAGGTCCATCTGTTCGGTTGGGACGATTGTTTCGTTGGCATCTTCGAACTGGAATCAGAAAAAAGTGAAATTTGAGGTTAGATTTTGTTATGTTTAATAATAATGAGGTTATGAATAGGCTTTTGGTTGAAATTTTGAAAATTTTCTTATGTTTCTGACTTATCTCTTTGTAGTTTTTGTAAATTTCTTTTTTAGCAAACCCCTGCACCTAAATATCCTTCTTTTTTCGATAATCGCTTTAAAATTTCTTTAAATTTCCCGATTTTTATGACCGCACCTGAAAAGTTTCTGTAAATTTTCAATTTTTAAGATCAGAAAATTCTGAATGAGGCTAATTTTCTCATTTTTATGGGCAACCCTATCAAAATTTAGTAAAATTTTTCAATTTGCATAGCCCCCCCCCCCCCCCTACGCCCCTGGATAGGGGGCCCGCCACCCCCCCCTACGAAAATCTGATAATTGTTTTATTAAGTATTTATAGAGAAGAACCAGTTAATGTAGAGGAAGTGATGAAAGAAATGTCAAAATCAGCACGAAAATTTAATTTAATGTATGAATAATGAATTAAATATTTAAACTTATGAAGAATGAATATAGATTTAAGGATACAAAGTAACGGTTTTTTAATTTTCGAAAATGGGCCCCCTTAAAAAATTTTTGGCTACGCCCCTGATTAAGACTCAGTAAAATTCCTCATTATTATGGCCATACAAATTAAGTTTCAGTAAAATTCTTCGTTTTTATGGCCAATTCAGTTGAAATTCAGTAAAATTCCCCATTTTTATGGCCGACCTAGTAAAAATTCAGAAAAATTCCTCGTTTTTATGGCCAGCCTAGTTAGAATTCGGGAAAATTCCTCGTTTTTATGGCCAACCTAATCACGTTTTAGCACAATTCCTCATTTTTACGGCTAACCTGTTGCAATTTCCTTCAAAAATCGCCTAACCCCATCCAAATCATCAGTTTTAACTTCCAAAAGCTCAGTTGACTTTCCTATAAATCTTTCCATACCATTTACATCTTCTCGAGGACAGTCACTGAATGATTTATTGAAAAAATTGGAACTGAATGTTTAAAGGCTTGGATGAAAAGGCTCTTAAATGTCATCTCTTTTTATTTGTTGCTTAATTCAATTAAATCTTTAGTGACTCTTTTTTGTCAGTGGAATAAGGATGGGATAAAGACAATGAATATACTTAAAGGATGAGTAGAGGGTGGGGTCGGGTGGATGAGATGATAAAGAGATGTGATGGCGTCTGTATTATTAATGAATAAATGTTGTGCAATGAAAATGGGATGATTTGAGTAATTTTTTTCTGTTATTTCGCTAAAGTTTGAAACAGATGGCCTGAAAAGCTGATGCTTAGACAGTTAATAACCAGGCAACAGTTTAGCTTAAGAATTGAGTGAAGGATTAAAATAGAAACCTTATGAAAAATTATGATGCAATGTTTAAGGGGTTTGCCATCATTTTTGTCTAATTGGTTTAGTTCTTGTCACATTGCAGGCATTAAATCAATCAAAAGGGAGTCCACGGTTTCAATTTGACAAGAAATAGCCTAAAACTTTCCAAAAAGGGGTACACAACTACATCAAATCTTCACCAAAAATGTTAATTTTATTAATATTCAAAACAAGGAATCCTCAAAAACAGAATCAAACAGCTTCAAAACTCTGTCAGTCTTCCTGCACTTCTTTTCCACAAGCTCCTGAAACTCATCAATATTCTTCACAATGTTCTCAATCTTCTCCTTCTTAAACTTGTCAACGACGCTTGCCTTCATAAAAATTCCATCACAACTTCCAACATTCTCACGAACATCCACAACAGCTAGACTCGAAAATGACCTAAAATCGATCGGAATGTTCTCAATGCTGTTGGCTGTAAAGTTAACTGCCCAAAGATTTTCGTTGTTGGCAAATAAATTCTCAGGAACTTCCACAATTTTGTTGTTGCTGATGCTGACAATTTCCAAGTTTTTAGAAGATCCAAAGAAATTTTGATCGAGTTCCTGAATTTTGTTGAATTTTGCTGAGAATATTTTGAGCTTTACAGCATTCAGCAGCAACTTTGGCTCCAATGACTTTAATTTATTGTACCTCAAATTCAACAGGACCAGCCCGGCCAAGTCATGAAAAGTATCAAACGGAATTTCCTCAATTTCATTATTATCAAGTCCAAGTGCATTTAATCTTGGCGCCAGAGCTGTAAAATCTGACCTTTTGATGTACTTCAAAGGCGTGCTTCTATAAAATAGCCCAGTTGCACCTTGAATGACATTACTAAGCTCCTCTGGGAAATATTCAGGATAAAATTCATTTCCAATGAACAAAAAGTCAACTTCCTTCGTTGACTCACTTTGGGATATTGTGTCGATGGATGTGACTGTGACTTTTGATGTCTTTGATGTCAATTCAGGTATTGAGCAGTTGTAGTACTCGAAGATGTCTGAGACTAGTCCATCGCCGCAGATTATGTCGACTTCTAAAGGTGTTGTTGGATGTGCGGTGGTTAAAATGATTAAAATGATGATTGTTGAGGCTTTGTGCATCTTAAGAGGAACTGAATGAGACTGAGCATGCAGATGATTAAGTTTGTTGTTTTATATGCACGGACTTGGTCAATGCTAGCCTTCTTTTATTGCAGAAATGCTTATTTATTGACATGGAAGTGATTTATGCAGCAACTGGGCAAGAAGGGGCTTAAAACTAGGATTAAAGGCTGCTATTGCTGATTTTTTGGACATGATGTAACCAGGGAAGCCTATTTGACTGAAGATCACAAACCATTCTCAACATTGTTTCATAATAAACATAAAGCCAGCCAACCAAACGCACTACCCTGCAGCAAAAGTCGCAAACCATTGATGTATTTATTGACAAGTCTTTAAAAAATGCATAAATTATCAGCAATAAAAATCTGCATAAGTAAAGAAAGTAATTTTTGTGTTGAATCAGTGAAAGCAATGCAAAGAGGTGTGTCAGTAATGAACGGCATTGACCGTGGCATCATATCCAAAGGGGGAAATCAACATGATGAGAAATAAGAGCTTATAGAGTTGATTCCATACATTTAGTGCCCTCAGAACCGTTATAAAGCTTAACTCAACTCACAAAATAAATTTTATTAATAAAATCAAGCTTACAGCCATCAAGTCTGGGTTTTTACTGTCAAGAAATTCCCATAAAATTCTATTGAAAACTGGAATGAAGTTAACCTCAATTTTTACTATAAATTCAATCAGTTCCACACCTTTTAGAGTCAGTCTTACTTCAATCTTCACAAGATGAACAAATTCGTATCTATTCTTGCATTTTTAGCCATTTTAAGCATCAAAGTTGGTTCTGCAGCGGAACGTGAAGTGTCAATCCAATGTGAACAATCAATAAGTGCACTTTGCTTGCTAGTTGGCACCAAATCAAAGTCAGAGAAGCTTAAAATCTCATCTATCAATGTGAATTTTAAGCAGCTAGCAGCAACGAGTGGAACTGGATATCTAGCATTTTTCACTGGCGATGCCACTTATCCTGAACACTTCCCAGTTGGGCTGATAAAAAGCATTGATGGAGTTGAAGGTTTTTACTACAACTTTAGTCCACTGAAGTACATCAAAAGGTCAGATTTTAAGGATGGAAGCAGTCTTCGTGCTGTCAGCCTCGAAAGAAATGAAATTGAAGCAATTCCATTCGACACTTTTTACGACCTTAAAGACCTCAAATTCATCAAGCTAAGCAACAACAAATTGAGACAATTTCATCCAGCAACATTTGCAACTTTACCAAAATTAGATACTTTTCTGTTTGACTACAATCAAGTCACAGCACTTGACCGGAACTTATTCAAAAGCTCCCCAAATCTAGAAAAACTTCAAGGATATTCAAATAAAATTGAGGAACTGCCAAAGGACTTGTTCGTCAATAATCAAAAGTTACGAGATGTGTCGTTTGGCAGCAATCAGTTGAAGAACATTCTGATTGATTTTAGAAGCCTTAAAGGAATTGAGAATGTCAATATAGCTGACAATTATGGAAATTGCAATTTTGTGTACTTTGACGAGAAGCCATATGCAGTTAAGGAAGAGCCAGAGGGATGGGTTTACAGTTTGGCTGAGTTTCAAGCGAATGTTGAGAAAAAATGTAGAAAAATTTAATAAAATGAGAATTGGGGACTGGGTTGGGGGCATTTGGTGGATTGAGGGATCGGATCAGAAATTGGGACTGTCTATGAGCTCTGTTGATGAGACAAAGAAACCCACTTCTACCTAAATTAACATCCCTGCTATAATTAATTTAATAAAAAAAATATTAAAAACCCACAATCAACATGATTTCTGCTCTTATTAAGCTTAACATCCTTCATATCATTCCCTCAGGCATCCAATGACCTTTCAAGTCAACAAAGAACACCAAAAATTCATTAAAATAATGTTTTGTTGATAATGAAGGCTTAAAAGCCTTCAGCTCAGTTCTGTCTGATGCCTACACTGCCTGTACTTTGCCTAATCCCACACACATCACAGTCATAAACATGAAAAAGAAGTGGAAAATGTTCTTTTTTTGTGAAGTTGACAGGAGGAAAAACTGTCCTCAGGGTGATACATTTTGGTGGAAAGACAGGCAATATGAATTTAATTTACAAGCTACACATACCCAGCCTCAAATGGAAGATTGAAAAATGAATGTTCTGATTCAGTGGCTCTTAATCTGTTTGCTGCGGTACACAAAAAATGTGTATTGGACAGAATAGGTTCAGAAACGCTGTTCTAGGCTGGGATTCTAAGTCTGACTTAGACTTCAGTATGGGATATAAAAAAAAAAAATTAATAAAAAACTTAAGGAATGTGCTTATGACGTACTCGTGTCTTTGCAATGTGCAGAGCTTGTAAGTGGTTCGGATCCCACTATAAACTGTAGGTCTAAAGGGTGTAGTTCAATAGATTCTGTTCCGATTTGAATCGCAGTGCCTCCAGCTGAAAGGCTGGGCCCTTCACACATTATTATTATTATTAAGGAATGTGCCACGAGTAGCCCTTAAAAATCGGGCTCAGATCTGACAAACGTTTTCGCCTGAATCTAATTGTAGCTTTGCCAAGAAAGTGATGCGTGACCAACCTTGATCCCAACAGTACGCCAAGTTCAATATGCTCATCGAAGAATCAACTCAAAATTTAAAATCATCAAAATTATTCAATCAGTCACGGCTGATTTGTATACAACATTAATTCCTCTAAAACCTCATAAATCACATCACATGACTCTGTTGATCTGTCTTTCATTTGATGAGTGATTGGTTTGTGGAAATAAAGCATAAGAAATAATTTAGAGCACAAAATTTGATGGGCATGTTGATGGGTTAGAGCAGTGGTGTACAACCTTTTGGAAAATAAGGCACACTTAAAACTGCGCCAGGAGTTGAGACAGAAATTATTCAAGGATGGATGGCTAATCTGTTTTAACTACTTGCTTGACACCGGTTTATGGAGAGCCCAGTTTTAAGATAGCCCCGGAGAGCCCTTGAAACCAGCAAGGGAGTGGAACTGAAAAATTACATTTTGATCTTTTTTGATAATTTTTGATCATTTTTGATCATTTTTGATCATTTTTTATCATTTCATCAGTACCACCCCCTTGGAACCCAGCCGCTCAGCTGCTCGAAGAGCTTTTAATGCCCAGTTTGCAGCTCCACGCAGGTTGACAACCACTGAAAAATTGAAACTAGATTATGAAGATTAAAAGAAGCATTGAGGGATTTGGATAATGCAAATAAGATGTTCGAAGGGGCTCCTGAGGATCACAGATCATTCAATCAACGAATTGTAGGTCAATATAGAATAAATTCAATGATATTAGGCTTAATTGATAGACTTTGTAGCTCTATAATTTCGTATTCCATTTACTGATCAATTACACATTGATTATGATAGCAAACCTAAGCAAAGTCCATTAGCTGACACATCAAACAACTGTAATTTACAGTCAATCATCAGATTGTGCATCCAACGCCTATTTCTGATTCAATTTGGCTGATAAAAATGCAATAAATTGTAATTTTGTGTGATGAAATGCAATTTTATTAAAATAAAGCAACAATACCAAAAAGCAACGCGATTCCAACAATCCCAAAATAAGTCAACAAACTCTTTCGTCCAAAAAATTCGTCTTCTTTTACTTCCCATTCCAATTTCTTACTCGATTGCCATTCAAAGACTTTCTTATTCTTTCTAATATTGCCGATTTGAATAAATTTAACATTTATTTTCGTCATAAAATAATTTTTTGTCACTCACGCTATTTTAGTCAGCTGATAATCGAATCAAATTCGTCTTGTGGCAATAATTTCTGATTTAATTCGTGACTAAAGAGCTGATTGTGACTAAAAGGCTGATGTGAATTGATTTTAACGGTTTTGAAGTTGATTTTGACTTTAAATGGGAAACTAAGGGGATGTAAAGGCTAGCTTTGGAGATTGAGAAGATCATAAAAATGGGTTGGGATGCTAAGAACTCTCTCAAAGCTCTTGCACATGTTGTTTTGGACACCAAATGCCTTACATAGGAGATTCGACAATTTTCTAATAGTTTAGAGAAAAAATTGAGTAAATCCCAATACAAAATTGAAGGAGAGTCCATCACTCAACCACCCCTGCTCACATCTGACCTAAATCTTTAATATCATAAACAACTTGATGACTCTATCAATTCCACTTTATAAGCAATCCAGCAATAATAAAAACATTCGTTCATTGTTATTTAAATAAATTTGTGACATTTGTCATCGCTACGATTTGCTCTTTAATCAATTGCATTTGTTTCTGTCATGATGCAAATAAATAATAATAAAACTAATCTACTAGGTTAGGGGCTGTTCATAAATGACGTCCTACATCTAGAAGGGAGTGTGGATGTGGGGATTCTGGAGTTTTGTGACGATTCAAACAAAATGATTATCAACGAGGTGGGGGGAAGGGGGGAAGGGGGGGGGGGGGGAGGGGGAAGGGTGTGTAAAATTATTGTTTTCAAATGGACGTCATTTTTAAATCCTCACAGAACGAGTTCAATTTGAAAGCCGTTCGATAACCGGTGTTTAGTGGATGATGATTAAAGGGGGAGGGGGGGGGGGGAGGGTGAGGGTGGTGGAGTTGAGGAAGTAAAACTAAATTATCAACACAATATTCCAAACAATACGATTAAAATCATCCATTTAATCCATTAGCCTTTCAATTTAACCCAAAAAGCACTTGATTGTCCTCAGCTAAGCTCATTTTTCAATTCAATTCCTTATCATCTCGTCCAGTTTCTCGAACAAACCAAGCGAGAATTCAATTCAAACAATTCAATTAAAAAGCTACAACAACAATGGCAATAAAAAGTCTCAAAACGTTTTTCTAACACGACACGTTGTGTATGTGCAGTATAATTTGATAGATAAGATAAGCGAATAGTATACGTGAATGTAATGAATGAACTCAAGCTTATTAGTTCTGAGTAAATGCTTCTTATTCATTGAATTTAATTTTTTTATTTTGCTTCTCAGCTTAGCTTTAAGGAATTGACTTTGAATTAAATTGTTTTGAAAATTAACTTTAAAACCCGAGTTTTTGAAAGAATTGAAAAAATGAAGAAATTTAAGAAAAAGTAAAAAATTAAAAACATCAAAAAAACAAAACTTTGAAAATAAATTCAAAAATTTCAAAAAAAAATTAAAAAATTCAAAAATTTCAAAAAAATTCAAAAACATTCAAAAAATTCAAAAAAAAAAAATTCAAAAAATTCAGAAAAACTCAAAAAATTAAAAAAAATTCAAAAAATTAAAAAAAATTCAAAAAATTTAAAAAAATTCAAAAAATTCGAAAAAAATTCAAAAAATTCAACAACATTCAAAAAATTCAAAAAGTTCAAAAACATTCAAAAAATTCAAAAAATTCAAAAACATTCAAAAAATTCAAAAAAATTCAAAAACATTCAAAAAATTCAGAAAAACTCAAAAAAACTCAAAAAAATAAAAAAAAATTCAAAAAATTCAAAAATATTGAAAAAAAAAACAATTCAAAAAGAAATCAAAAATTTTAAAAGAAAATTGAAAAAATCAACATTTTTTTAAAACGAAGTTTTTCTTTTAAAGTTATTAAAAGAAAAAAATTTGTCATAATTCAACCAATATACAATAAAATAATGTTATCAAAACTCACCTCCTCGTCGTCATCGTCGAATGCATTTGATGCCATTCTATTTATTTACTAATTAAAGGTGAACTTGTCTGCAACTTGAAAACAATTCACGGACAACAAAGTCAATTTGCGATATTTGTTATTAATTTATTTGCGGGTTTTTTTCTCTACCACACAACAACAGCAATAGCACTGCGAGGTGAATCACTGAATTATGACGCAGCTGCTCTCTTTTTTCAGATTCTTTATTTACTGTCGATTAGCCGTGGCATTGAAGTTTTATACACAATTTAATTTACATGTATTGGAAGCATTAATTGAACATCAAATAACTTTTTAACTTTTTAATTTTGAATTTATTTATTAGTTCTGAAAGATTTTTTTTGTTATTTATTTTTATTTGAACATTTTACACATTTTTCGGTTTTTTTTTTGTGAGAGAAAAAAATTTTATTTTTGAGGAAATTTTTATAATTAATGGATTTTTAATTCGATTTGATTTTTTTTAAAACTGTTTCTTTTATCTTTTGGTAAAATGTGAATTTTTTAATTGGTATTTTGAAATAGTTTGTTGGTGAGAATGAATTATAAATGTTGTCTGGTTTTTGTAATCTAACTTGAGCGTCACTTTACTTTTGACTTGATTCTCAAGTTCCTACTGACTTGATGCTCAAGGCTCGTCAAGTTTCTCCTGATTTAATCCTTAAGTAACCTCAGACTTAATCCTCAAGTAACCCCTGACTTGATCCTCAAGCAAACCTTGAATTGATCCTCAAGTTGCCCCTGACTTGATCCTTAAGTTATCCCTGACTTTATCCTCAAGTTACCCCTGCCTTGATCCTCAAGTTACACCTGACTTGATCCTCAAGTTACCGATGACCTGATCCTCAAGTTACCCCTGACTTGATCCTCAAGTTACCCCTGACTTCATCCTCAAGTTATCCCTGACTTGATCCTCAAGTTATCCCTGACTTTATCCTCAAGTTACCCCTGAATTGTTTCTCAAGTTACCCCTGACTTGATCCTCAAGTTCCCCTTGACTTGATCCTCAAGTTCCCCTTGACTTGATCTTCAAGTTACCCTTGAATTGATCTCGAATTTACTTCTGACTTGATCCTCAAGTTACCCCTGACTTGATCTTTAAGTTACCCTGAATTGTTCCTCAAATTACCTCTGACTTGATTCTCAAGTTACCCATGACTTGATCCTCAAGTTCCC